GATGATGGTTTTCGTAGTTGTTCAAGTTTCCGCTCCATACAGTTAAACTATCTTGACATTTGTATTGAAAATTCTGATCTCTGCCTGTAGGTCCTCTAGGGGCTACTGCCGGTCCTAAGCCCGGGTAAAGGAGGAGGGTTGGGCATAGGGTTAGCGACCCAATCCCGTAGAAAACCAACTGGCTAAAAAAACGCTAACCAGTTATCTGAGATGAGAGTTAATCAAACAATTATCACCCTAATTTAGTCTAACAAATAATCAAACGATATTCAATAGTTGACAAAACCTACATTACTACAAATTATTCAATAAAGGTGAAATGAACACAATAACAATGAATGAGTAAAGTATAACACGGTTACAAAGCTTACCTTTCATTTGATAGTATAAATACTATGGATATCGATCTATTATGAGTAGAAATAATAACCATTTGTGACCTTTATTCTTATAGTATAACCTAAGTATGACATATATAGTTTAATCCTAACTAATATCATCAATTAAAACAAAGGCACTTCATATTATGATTGCAATAAGAAGTGTACAAATAGATGGATCGGTAATTAGATAGTAAAACAAACAGACAGAATAAAATGAGGATAGACTAATTTCTCAAGTTGACGATTGTCTCGAAAATGCAAAGTGCACTAATGAGGAGTCCTATAATAAGACGAAACAGCCGTCCAGTGCTCTTAGGTTTTCCATGGTAGTCTAGTTTACTTCAATGGATTTATGATTTCAACTAAGAAAGCAATAAACGTCGAATAGAAATCACTAACTAGTCATGATTTTGAATAGTATAGAGTGAAAACGTAGATGATCTCAAGAATGTGAAACATGTTACGTCTGGCCGATTGTGAACGCCATATTCGCTTCCCTAAGCTAGTTCCGTAACCCCGAGCTAAAACTATACAGCGAATGAAGACCAGAGAAAATGCATAAAATACGTGGGAAGCACTTTACTACAGGATTCATTTATGTACAGAAAACATAGGGATTTTATAGTAATTTAAGCGTCCTTGAGTTTTTACTGAAAGATCTAGAGTATTGCCAAACATAATAGCAGTGTATAAATCAGCCAATCAGGATCACCACATGTGGCTTTTCCATTTTCGTTATTTTAGTAACATAACTTCTAAATAATCGCTGATTGGTTGAAATGCTCCTTGATGACCTATGAGCTTGTCATGTCGCTTGCGAGAAAATTGCAGGGTCATCCCAACAAAACATTTTCAAAAAACATGTGAAAGAATCTAATCACATTATCACTTGTTAGAACATTCATTGATTTATGTGAAGACGAAGTATATTTATTTATTTAAACATAAATATTGGTACAAGGAAGCACAAGATACATATGCGTCACACAATTCTCATTTCATTTGTGTGAGGGCTGTGATATTGCATACGTGCCCAAACTCAACCAGGTGGTGAACTTAGGTGGCCACACCCGGAGTCTTTCACCTAAAGGTCTAACCAACAAGGCAGTGGAGCATCGTGAGGAGATGCAGTCCCATGGTAGCCAGTGACCAACGATTGATTCATACGCCATTTTTCCCTCACGATACTGGAGGCAATACATGTGCACAATTGGTTTGGAATTACGGTTTTCCAACTCCTCTAGGTTGACGCGCCGTTTCCACAAACCAGGTTAAAGCAACGGATATTCGCTTTTCGTCCTCTCAATTTCGTGAGCAACACTACCGCCACGAGTAGGACTTTCCCGACAGAGGCTTTATACACATGGCCATGTGAAAGCATTTGGAGAGAGAGAGCAGACTCTCCCCACTCTCGGCCGTACCAGGGCATTTGAGGGCAAGACGAAGTATGATAAAATGGAGATATTAATATTGGAAACAGAATGCATATGAATACGAGATAGTTTAACTGAGAAAGCGGAACTAGTTGTTTCATATCCTGAAAATCGATTAGAGCTTACAAGATGAAGTTCTAAATGCATATGAAATGATTGTGTTTAACGTAGAACTAACATGCTCAGATTTTACATTATAACTTATACTGAATAGTTTTGTGAAGGCGTACATTTGTAAACATATTATTATTTTGTATGTCTAGTTGAAATTAAATGGTGATTAAATGTAGACTATATGAAGCCTTGAATTTTGATAGCATGATAAACATTTGTGACACACCTTAATGATGTAAACATAAAAAAACAAGGTGTTTCATTTAAGTGAAAACATTTACTGATAATCATTGTTGTTCTAGGTAAGCAAAAATGGTTAGTGGTTAGCAGTGGAATCCAGGAAGCAGGCCACTTCGTCCTATTTGCGACTCGTCAGCTGGATGTGCCTGAATCTCGGAGTTGATGTTCACTCTGGCATTCGAACCCAGTACCTTTCGCTTCAAACGCAATCGTGTTATCCACTCGACGAAAGGTACTGGGTTCGAATCCCAGAGTGAACATCAACTCTGAGATGCAGGTACATCCAGCACGTTAAACTGGATTCCACTGCTATCCACTATCCATCTTTGCTTACCATGCTTGTGAATTTAGGCTATATCGAGGCAATACGCACAGTACGCCAATTAGAGACTGACCAGTAGCAGTCCTAAAAATATCAATGGAAAGATCCAAACAATCAATACTAAGTAAATTATTAAATAGGAATAATATATTTGTAAAATCTCAGCGAATGAATTTGTAGTAAATCCAACGTTTCGCCTGGCAATCTGGTCCAAGCTTTTTCAAGGAATTATCTTGAAAAAGCTTGGACCAGATTGCCAGGCGAAACGTTGGATTTAATTTAAAAATTCATTCGCTGAGATTTTACAAATATATTATTCCTATTTAATGTCTTACTTCAACTCGGCGATCAAATACTGTGAAACTATTTGTTCTAATTTAGACGAGAGTTCTTATATAAGTAAATTATTGTTATTGCTTAGAAACTATGAAATATGCAGATGATTATGGTACTCTACTTAACTAAAACAAATTTATAGGTCTAATGCACGGTTTATTTGGTAATATCTGTATGTACAAATCCTATTTAAATTTATCATTACGTCATAAAATAACCTTGAACCACTGTAATATGTTACCACGACTTCTCTGTATGTAATTTTTCGGCTTCAGAGGTTACCCTTGAGATATTTGAGAAACTGGAATCATGGCATCCTAGGACTTACTACTAAAATAACACTGATCAAGTAATTAATTTTATTATTTATCGACTGTTTCACAAAAGTGCAAATACGGTTTTAATGCGAGCCTAATGTTTATGAAATGTTCACTTCTGTATGAACATTTGAAAACGTCTACAATGCAGAACACAGGAAAATGATAATTTAGGATGAGGTTTGAAGTGCCACTGTTTTCAAATGCGGTTTAAAATGTACCATACTTATAACGTAATTATACTCTAATAGATATAAGTTTATAGAAAGTTTACATTTGAGTCACTCAACTTTTCATCTTGTCTATTTGATACTTCATGATGTGAATAGCCAGACCGCAGAAAATCAGTCTAAATTTTCTAACTACTGATAATTGTTTATTAGTAGCATTATTCCATCGCACAAAATTAACCATTTCAGAAAAAATAGTGGAATGCTGTTTATCATGCCCATAAAATTAGAGGTCAAGTTCAAACCACTCAGTAATTCCCTACTGATTAGTAATTCATAGTTTCTAACTCCGATCCATTAGAATTTTATTATATATCATGTATGGATCAATAACTATACAAGAATGTCTAATATTAATCAGACTCTTTTTGTAAAGACGAACACAATCGACAAATTAAACTGATCTCACAAGGGGTTTTGTGGAGATTTCAGTATTTTCATCGTTGGAAGTGTGAGTCAATTGAAGCTAAACCACCATCGAAAAACTGGAAGCACTGGACGGCCCATAATAAGACGAAACGACCGTCCAGTGTATCTAGGTTTTCGATGATGGTCTAGCTTCAATTGACTCATGAATTCAACTATGAAAATAAACTAATCTCCATAAAGCCCCTTCAACTAAATTGAGAAATTATTTTTACGATTGATTCATGTTGCACACATAACTTTGACTGACTATAGACCACTTTGTTTATACATCGCATTAGGTACTATTCGTCAGTGCAAGTGTCAGGTGTGCAAAACTTAAACTACTTACCAAAATTATTATATCAAAGCCCTATTCTAATATTTTCATTTATATTTTATTTAAACAAACAAATATTGGTACAAGGAAGCACCAGATATATATGCTCCACACAAATCTCATTGGATTTGCGTGAGAGCTGTGATACTGTACGGGTGCCCAAACTGAAGCAAGTGGTTTTCTTAGGGGGCCACACCCAGAGCCTTTGACCTAAAGGTCTAACCCACAAGGCAGTAGAGCATCGTGAGGAGATGTGGTCCCGTGGTAGCCGGTGACCGACGATTGGTTCATACGCCATTTGTTCCATCAGGATACTGCAGCCAGTCCATGTGCACAATGTGTTTGGAATCACGGTTTTCCTACTACCCTAGGTGAACTTTCCGTATCCACCAATCCGGTTAAAGCACCGGATATTCGCTTTTCGTTCTCTCAATTTCGTGAGCAACACTCCCGCGACGAGAAGGCAGTGAGTAGGACTTTCCTGACAGAGACTATATACACGTGGTCATGTGAGAGCATTTCGAGAGGAAGAGCGAACTCTCCCCACTCTCGACCGTACCAGGGCATTTGGGAACCCTATTCTAATAGACTACATAATGATTTGTTCAATTTCGATATAGAAAAGAAAATATAAATGATTGAAATGAAAAAAGTTACTTAAATAATAACAGATAAGTGTATATATATTATAGAACCCCAATTCACAGTGACATCAGTCGGATATAGATGATATAGTAATATAGGATATAGTAATATGTTTACTTTGAATGTAAAAAGTAAAAAAAAACAAATTTCAGAACTAGGGGGACAACAACAAGAAACTGATTTTCATTTTTTTTGTAATTATGATCCTTTATTGATTGGCTTTCACGATTTGTGTTTAGTCAGAATTATTTGAGCTTAGACGTTTCTTCACAGCATCTTGTTGATAAGCTAATAGCATACCACGAAGTCTAGAACCACGTCGGGAAGGAACATGTTGTCTACGTGCTGATAAATGTTGACTATGAGACTTCGAATCACCATTTGATGATTTAGAAACTGATGCATTATGTAATAGATTATTTAGTACTGAATCAATATGATCCTGGAGAGAAAAAAATACAAAACAAAAATAATGCATTACAAAAAAGAAACAATTTTATGGCATAAAACATTGGTGTAACCTAACTGACACCCCTTTTGTGTAGAATAATTCTGTTATATCCTAGCGAAGATGTAATTACGGGTGACATCTAGGAACTATTAATGGATTATCATTCTCTCTCTATATATATTCTTATGGTTTAACTATTGAGTAACTAGATTGTGTATATCTATCAGTCAGTCAGTTACAAAGTAGAACTTCGTACATACGTACATCAGTTCGAGTTGCCATATCACATTAGCACAGAAATGCAGTTGTAGTAAGAGTATAAACAATAAACTGAAACATTAGGGTTTGAAGATGCTATTCAAGGAGCATAATCCAGTGAAATATATTTGGAAAGAGAAAAAGGATAGGGACATGAAAAATTCAGAAGGTTAGAATTTGCCGGAACACAAAGAGTGGATCCACCTTCACCATTGCAAACGATTTAGAGCCATGTCATTCAAGGTCTCTAACCATCGATTGCTATCATCTCGCGAGTCCCAACCAGGTTGTCTATGGTAACTCTAGAAACGTTGTGATATGAATACAAATATAATCGTGTATATCTATATTCATCTTACTACAAGCTTCATTTTGACCTATGGATTATTACTGTACGATGTGCTGTTCCCAAATTATGTTCAGTTTATTGATTATTGTCTTCAACTTTCACAGCGACATTTGACTCGATCTTGTACAAATATTATTCTCTATTTTATGGCGTGATACCGTCTGTCTATCCAGTATATAAACCGAGTATGCTTGAAATAAATGATTCGCATAACAGAAGCTGCAATTGGTGTTCTGGAATCAATTGGAAGGGCTAAGCGGACAAGGGACCAATAAGGAAGCTAGACTGCTCATACCAGTTAAACGTCATTGATTTGGTACAGTGTTGAGATTGGAAAAGTGGTATTTCGATTGGCGGATAACTTAAGTGATAAAAACCAGACATAAAATCATAACGGAATTGGATATGACCCTTTCTTAATTCATAAAAAATTCGAAATATATAAACCCTCAAAACAAAACTATCAATATTTTATATGAACATTAGTTTTCTTATCATTGAGTATCCTATGTAAGCTAATGTACAACAAATTGAAACAATCACAGCCTTTCAGTGTTAGTAAGGCAAAACTTGATGTACAATCAATACTGACTGAATTCGATCAGCATTACAATACTCAGTGATTATTTCAGTTAGTCGCGGGTCGAATAGCTCAGTGGTAAAGCGTCAGATCATGAAGATAGATAACACAAGTACGAATCCTACAGATACTATTGTGGTGTGATCTACTTAAATCCATATAAGTAGTATATGGTGTTGGTCAGACATAGAATGTATTTTTGTAGAAGACCAATGAGCAAAGAACTGAAATGAAGTGCACTCGTTTGGAAAATGCATGAGCAATGGAATTAGAGAAGAAACAGTGAAGATTGAAACAATTGGTTGTTAATTTTCAAATTGACTGTTCATTGTTTGGTTATCAGAATTTACTGAGATAATCTGTAATCTTTGCTTAAATACATTCGATTGTCCCTAGTCGAGTTCTGTTCACTACACTATCAATCCTCTCAAGATAGGGAGTACTTTTACTCGACTATCTAGAAACAGGTTCAGGGCTTCCATCCAACTAACTCCAAACATTCTCCGAAATATTTTTAAGATGTTGGGATTTTTTATGTGAATACAATCAAAAAACTGTGGGCGCACGTCAAACCCATAACTATTGAGTAGTAAATAGTTTGGAAGACGTTAGTAGTTTGCTTTTCTAAGACAACCAACATTTCAAATCCTTCTAACTTTTAGCGACAGAATGGACGATGTGGAAGAGGTCGAAAATAAAAAGTACGGGATTAACACATCGCAAATTAATCATAAAAAGGTCAATACGTAGCCTGCTTCAAGCAGTTATCTAACGGATTAACCGGTCACTTACAAGTTGCCAAGACATCACCCAACTAATCCGAATTTCTATAAAAATGCCTGAAGAAGAATCCTACATTGTGTGGAGGGAACTGGAGAGTGGCCAGCACCCACACACTTCTCTAATACAGCACTCGAGAACACTTAGTTCATGAATTACACTTTTTTTGAAACAAAAGTATGGAAGGAAGTTTAGTAGACTATTAGTGGAAATATTTGTGTGTTGGAAAGTTTTAACACTTCAAAATAACTATTGATAAGTTGTTCACCTGTTGTTATGGTTTTTATACAGTAGTCTATTCAAGTATTTAATAGATATTATCATATGAGTTTAAGAGTTAAGTTGACAATAGAAGTAATTTACTTTTTAACTTCATCTTTTGACTGAACACTAAATAAAAGGAACTAGTCGACAAATAAATGTTAGGATCCTGAGGTCGTTATTCATAAAAGAATGCCATTAGTCCGATAGAACATGTGGACGTGGATAAGACATACATTGAGCAAATTATCCAACGACATCATGAGGCAAGAGCTAATTTAGAATCCTGAAGGTAAACAGAAAAAAATAGGCCTCAACATAAACAAAGGAAAAATCAAGATTCTTAAATACAACATGGAGAACACCAACCCAATCACACTTGATGGCGAAACCCTGGAAGAGGTGGAATCTTCACATACCTGGACAGCCACATCGAGGAACAGGGATAACCTGATACAGACATACAAACGAGGATTGACAAAGAAAGGACAGCATTCCTACAGTTACAGAACATATGGAGGTTAAAACAACTGTCAACTAACTTCAAAGTGAGAATCTTCAATACGAACGTCAAGACAGTTCTAATGTACGGAGCTGACATCTGAAGAACTACTACATCCATCGTCAAGAACGTACAAGTATTTATAAACAGTTGTCTACGCAAAATACTCAACATTCACTGGCCAGATACTATCAGCAACACAGTTTTATGGGAGAGAAAAAAGCAACTTCCAACTGAAGAGAAAATTAGGAAAACACGTCGGAAATGAATAGGACATACATTTTGGGAATCACCAAACTGCATCACGAGGCAAGCGCTAACTTGGAATCTAGAAGGGAAGCGGAAGAGAGAAAGCCTCAAGAACACATTACGCCGGGAAATAGAAGCGGACATGAGAAGAATGAATAGAAAAAGGAAAGAATTGCCCAAGACATAATTCGATTTCAAATGCTGATCGGTGATCTGTGCCCCTCCAAATGGGGTATCAGGTGTAATTAATCAATAGAAACAATAATAAGAAGTAATCAATAAAAGGTTCAATAATCAGTGATCCCACAATATTCCATCATACTTACTTTGAATGCAATTGCTGTTCTTTCAATACTCGCTTCTAATTCATTGGATAAACAAATCTTCGATTGGATTAATGGACTCATTGTTCTTATTTCCATAATATTATTTTGTTTATTTTCAGCTAATATTATTAAATCATTTAATTGTTTAGCACAAAATTCTAATGATTCATTATATAGATCTGTAATTTGATCATGTTTATTCAATTCACCATTAGTTGTACCGGAGTTCTATTTTAGAAAAAAAATAGAAAAAAATTGTTTACAACTGTTTTCATAATTGAAAGTGTGAGTCAATTGAAGCTAGACCACCATTGAAAACCTGGAAGCACTGGACGGTCGTTTCGTCCTATTATGGGACTCCTCAGCAGTACGCATCCACAATCCCAGGACTTACCAGTCTCGAGCCAAAGCCCTTGACCGATAGAACACTGAGCCGGCATCCAACGGTGTTAATGTCTAACTTCAACTGATCCACGAAGTTGAGCAACCGTTCACTTTTTTCTTAAATTAAATAAAAAAATTTGATGAATTTAATATAGAATAAGTCAAGTTGTGATGTGGGTTACTTATATCCATATAAGTAGTACATGGAGGTGTTCAGACATATGTATTTTGGCAGAAGATCGATAAGGAAAGAACAGGAACGAAAAGCAATTAGCAGAAAAATGCAGGAATAATAATTCCTGCTTTTCCCCCAAATGCCCTGGTATGGCCGAGATTGGGGAGGACCCACCATCTCTCTTATACCGTGGCGAAGCCATATATAAAGGTAATGGATCATATCCGGAGCCGCAACATGTTTATAAGTGGTCGAACATCTACCGTAATTTTTGTGTCAAATACATTCGATTGACCCCACCTGTGTTCATGTTCACTAGTAAGTGATCAGTTGAAAAGTTGCTATATGGTTAGGGATAAAAATCAACGTTATCAAATTATCTAGGTGCATTGTAGTCAGTAATGACGACTATATTTTCGTTTATTTAGTTAATCAATTGTAAATATTTTGGAATATTTGCTTTTATAGAGGTATGAATTCTGTTATGTTATGATTTTCCTTCTATCACGACTGACTGAACTCCATTTGACATGTTTATATCATGATGAAGTGATGTTTTTGTTGTAGAAAAGTTTACATTATTTATGTAAACTAACAAAAAAACGTAAGAGAACGAAACATACCCTTTATTATGGATTAAGATTAGGGAGGACCAGCCGTCTCTCTTGAAGTGCTCTCATACGGCCACGCATATATAGCCTCTGTCAGGGAAGTCCTACTCACGTTCTTTCCGTGGCGGGGGTGTCATTTACGAAATGCAGAGGACGAAAAGCGAATGTTCGGCACCTTGACTGGGTTGGTGGACACAGTGAGTCCACCTAGATGAGTTGGAAAATCCTAATTTTAAACCAATGATGCACATGGGCTCCAGTATCCTGAAGGGAACAAATGGCGTATGAATCAATCGTTGGTCATCGGCGCATATATAACCGGTGCCCATTTATACCAATATTTATGCGTTTAAATAAATAATTTTCTGCTTTATTTTGGTTGATTTTTATTTATTTTATTTATTTCAACACATAAATATTGGTACAATATGACACCAAATAGTCATGCGCCACATAAACCATTCGCTTCGCGTATAGGCTGGGATATTACCCGAGTGCCCAAACCGAAGCAGGTGGTTTTCTTAGGGGGAGAAATATGGAGCCTTTGACCTAAATCTCTGATCCACAAGGCTGTGGAGCAACGTAAGGAGATGCAGTTCAATAGTAACCGGTGACTAAAGATTGATTCATACGCAATTTGTTCCCTCAGGATACTGGAGTCCATGTGCACCATTGGTTCAGAATCAGGTTTTTCCAACTCCCCTAGGTAGACTTTCTTTGTCCACCAATCAAGTTAAAGCGTCGGACATTCGCTTTTCATCCTCTCAATTTCGTGAAGGACACCCCCGGCTACGAGAAGACAGTGAGTAGGACTTTTCTGGCAGAGGCTGTATACGCATTTCGAGAGAGAGGGCGAGCCCTTCCCACTCTCGGCTGTACGAAGGCATTTGCGGGCTGATTGTCAAGTAAAAGATCAAAATTGAGAACGAGAATGGAATTTAACCTTACTTAATTTATTATTTTGCATTAAAAAACGAATAAGTATTATTATAAGTAATCAAGAATTGATGAGTTGTTTCTCTTTTGGTATTTAAAATTGTATTTATTTAGTTAAATACACACGTATCTAAGTACATAAATACGAAGAATACAGGGATCCATCTCTTAATTACATTTGAAAGAACTTATACAACTCTTTTTTCAATACCGGTGCCATTCAATAAAATGTTTTATTAACACTTATTAGGTAAATAACGTTGTCAATGATGCAGATAAGACAATAGGAACGGTGAGTTGTCATTTGATTAAATCAATCCGATGATGTTAAATTAACTATGAACTTCAATAGTCCATGGATGTATATGTGAAGTGTATAAACTTTTCGTGGCCCTTTGATCTGAATCCAACCTGAATAAACATGAATATGCCATGAATATGAATCTTCCATTGAACCTTGAACTGCCTTGATTTGTGTGAGGGTTGTGATGCTACCCGAGTGACCGAACCGAAGCAGGTAGTTTTCTTAGGAGGCCACATCCCGAGACTTTGACCTAAAGATCTGGTCTACAAGGCAGTGAAGCATCGTGAGGAGATGCAGTCCCATGGTAGCCGGTCACCAACGATTGATTCATACGCTATTTGTTCCCTCAGGATACTGGAGCCCATGTGCATCAGGGTTTTCCAACTCCCCTAGATGGACTTACCGTGTCCATGAACTTGGTTACAGCACCGGCCATTCGCTTTTCGTCCTCTCAATTTAGTGAACTACGCCCTTGCCACGAGGCAGTGAGTAGGACTTCCCTGGCAGAGGCTACATACGCGTGGCCATGTGAGAACATTTAGAGAAGGAGAGCGGACTCTCCCCACTCTCAGAAGTACCAGGGCATTTAATGCTATTATTATTTTGACTGTTTTGCTCTTCATCTTGTCAATACATATGCATACACCATTAAATAATTTGAAAAAATGAGCACATCGAGGATTCCTTTCACGAATTTTTTTATTATTCAATAAGTATTTTCAAATTAAAATTTTATTCATTGTTATTCATAATTGAACTTGACAAAATATTATCAATTATGACTTTATGACACCTCAGCAGATGCGAACGAGTATACTGTGCAGCTGTTCTACTTAACGGCTACGAAACGTGGCCACTAAAAGTAGAAGATACTGTTAAGTTACTAGTATCTGATCACAGATGTCCGAGAAATATCGCTTGCGTCTGCTGGGATCACCACGTAAGTAATAGTGAGGATAGACACAGGGTTTTAGGGAATGATGGTAAATCAGTTGATGAGGTTGTAAATCTTCATCGACTGAAATGGTTGGGCCACGTGTTACGTATGCCTGAACACCGATTACCACGACGCTCTATGCTGACTAGTGTAGGGTATGGTTGGAAGAAAGCTAGGCGCGGTCGAAACAAAAAGTGGTATCAGTATTTAAAATCACTAAATTCTGGTTTCAGACATGTTGGTAGATGTAGACTACTTGATTGAGGTCCACGTGACTATCGTATCTAATGGTTGGAGACTCTGGGTGACATGGCTGAGAATCGATCACAATGGCGTAGATGTATAAACTCTTTATCTTCCTTTAAACCGTGAGATCGAAATTACTTAATATCGTCCTTTCTGCCTATTAATTCTTTCTTCCTGCAATATATCCTTATACACAATCTTTCTTTTATATATTACTACCATTGAAGTAACTACATTTATGGATTTGGTATTCATCTTGTAATGCTAATGAGGTATGGCAACTTGGAGCGATGTATATATGTGCCGGTTTCTAGGTTGTAGCTGACTGACTAACTGACTTAGGACACCAAAATCAGACTCATATCACTTAACATAGTAATTCGTCAAAATTCGAATAAACAGTGTGACAAAGATGTTCACAGTTATATAATATACCCTTATGGGCCAGGGTAATTTTACACTGGTTCTCAGAAGAACCAGACACCATCCAGACTTTTACGTGACAACCCAAACAGTACAGCTCAATCCCACCCCACAGGAGAATCAGACACTATATAGGCTTCAACGCTACAATCCGAACAGTACAGCTCAATCCTGTGGCGCAATCACACAGGTACCAAACACCTTGGTAGACCATTCGCATCATTCATATACACATTCACATCATATGTATAGTTATTCCGATCAGTGATGGCGTAATCGCGTAAATCAATTATGTACAACATGAACAGGTTAAAGTTGACCGATTCCGTAAAGATCAGTTAACATCAACTATACAAGAAAATATTAAGTGTAAGAATCTATTCTTGATCATTTTAATTTAAATTAGTTCCTTGAAGAAGTTGAAGCGAATTAATTGCGTGAAATACTGGAATAAGTTCAAAAATTTCAAATATCATTTATATACTACTTAATGTCGTATTTGTATTTGTTTAAAAAAAATTCGAAAAGTCAAACTCAAAAAATCGACTAACCAACTCTTTTTCAGCTGGAAGGCTGATATCACTTAATGCAATTGATATGTCTAATCGATTAGCCGATGTAGGTGGACCCCATTCATCCATTATTTCTAATTCAGTTAAGTCAACATCACTAATAGGTGTATTAGCCTGTAATGAATTATGCGCCAAACGAACTAGATTTTCATTATGATCGCCATCTGTTTCAGAAATCGATTTCACTTTCTCCTGAACACCAACAATATCTTTTTCATTAACAATATCATTATCAGTTAAGTCATGATCTTCTTCAGTATCAGATAATACTTCACCTTCAGAACAACTTGTATCAGACGGTGTACGACTATGACGTAAACGAAGAGATCGATTTGTATGTTTTCGTGTAAATCCACTACTACTCACTTTGCTACTATTAGAATGTGATTTCGTTGATTTATTGGAATGTTGTGTTGTTTTATTCTGTTTTTCTTCATCAATTTGATTATTCTCTTCTTCTTTTTTCTCTTCTATTTCATCTTCTTCAGTTCGAATAATCTCAGAATCTGATTCCATTGAAATATCATTATTCAATTGATCTTCAACATTTGTCTCTCTGTATAGAAATGATATCAGAAGGAGAAAAGTTAACAAGAAATGAAACCTGAATAGAAGAGTACTGGTGTTGGAACTTTATTTACTACAAGTCAAGTTCAGCAGCATCTCCTGCGATCATTAGCTAGATTAGATTAGTCAGTCCTCGATAAATTGATAACCCATCAAATATATCTTCCAACCTCCTTGCTTTTGACTTTTGATTTTACTGGGTGGGCACGACTCAATTATAGAAGGTGTTGCTGGTAAAGTGTTGTTAAACTACAATACCTGTAGTATCTTCAATGACTTTTATGTAATTATTAATCAAGTGAATGCATAGGTCATTTTATAAATGAAAAGTATTTTCTGCTAGGATCATCATGCATTGGAAAGAATAAATCTTCATTTATATTAATTATCATATGCTCATTTGTTGTCATAGAAATTATAATGCTTCCTTAATTTCAAGTATGAGTAATAGAATGATCCTGTATCTATCAATTCTAAATCCACAGATTTCGAACTATGTTTTAGTTGAACATGATATTAGTTCAGTCAGTCAGCTACAACGTAGGACCAGGTACATATATGCATCAGTCCAAGTTGACACACCTCAATAGCACAACAACATGAACACTGAATTCATAATAGTTAATATAATAGTGATAATATATAAAAGAAAGATTGTACATAAGAATATAGTATAGAAAGTAAGAAATACATAAAACAATTTTAATCTCACGCTTTAAATAAAGAAAAAGAATGTATACATCTACGCCATTGTGATGGATTCTCAGCCATGTGACACAGAGTCTCCAACCATTGGTTATGATAGTCACACGGACCCCAACCAAGTAGTCTGCACCTACCAACATGGCTCAGACTTCAAGCTCTGTTGCCACGTTTCGGTTTGGCCACCCCTAACACTCTTCCAACCATCCCCAATACTAGTCAGCATAGAGCGTCGTGGTAATCGGTGTTCAGGCATACGTAACACGTGGTAGAAACATCTCAGTCGATGAAGATTTACAACCTCATCAAGTGATATACCATCATTCGCTAATACCCTGTATCTAACCTCACTATTACTTACCTGGTGATCCTATCAGATGCGAGCAATATTTCTAAGACATCTGTGGTCAAATACTAGTAACCTACGAGTGTCTTCTACTCTTAATGGCCATGTTTCACAGTTGTAAAGTAGATCAGAACGAACTGCTGCACAGTATACTCGTCCCTTAATTGATAGACGGATATCTCGTCTTCGCCATAGGTGACGTAAGTTGGAAAAGCCAAACGAGCTTTTTGAATCCGTGCTGAGATTTCGTCAGACACCGACCCATTAGGGCTGATCAGACTTCCAAGATAAGTGAAGTTGTCGACGCGTTCGACTACTTCACTCCCTATCCTTAGTTCAGGTGTTGACGCAGGCCAGTCCTGGAGTAACAATTTATAATTGGAGCTAGATCACCATGGGAAACCTGGAAGCATTGGACGGCCGTTTCGTCCTACTGTGGGACTCCTCTTTGGATTTGACAAGGAATTCACATTTGGTACTATGAAGATTAAGAAGCGAATCTGTAACTTAGTGACTGAAAATCGAACACCTTAACCACTGAATCTTTACTCCAATAACATAATGATTCTTTGTAAGAAAAATCAAATCAAAAGGTTAACCTACATCAGCTTCTCAACATTTCCATTATCTATTGTAGATTGAGCTGATTTCAGCTTTTCTTTTATATTTGATGATTTTACATAACTGGAAGTAGATTGTCGTATATTGTTGATTGATTGTAGTTCCATTGTTTGTTCTTTTGAACGATTTGACGAAGATCGTTGTTTTTGTTTATTCCAATTAAAATGATCAAATCGATCAAGTGAAGCTTGAACTATGGCAGGACTTAGATGAGTTATTAACCTACGTTTTAATGAAATGAAAACAATTGTTCATTCAAATACAAATAAAATAATCTAGCTTCTGTCTAATTGAATTGATCTATACAATCGTTGGAAATTAGGAAGCATTAGATAAATGATTTAAAATTACAAAAAACGAGTCAGATTGTAAGTGAGGTAACCTGAAGTGTTGTTAGAAGAGGATAGTTGTTGTTTTCCAGTTACTCAAAATGTTAAGTATACTTCACCTTCAGAGTCCTCAAAAGGAAATTGGGTTGGGATTGATAATGAAGTGTGACCGCAGACACCAAACAGTTAAGACTGAACATACAAACGACGTCTTTTTGTACACAACCCTTGATGTGTTGACCATGTACTATAAGGGCCAAAATGCTAACGCTTGAATCTATGGGGTTGACATCAAGTGTATTATTTTTAGGGGAAACCTTTTCTTACCACTTCCTTCCGTAGTAAGAAGTTAGCATCATTATAAGTACTGGTTTTTTAAAGGAAACACCGTACTATCACTACACCCCTGTGTAGACAGCAGTACGACTTCATCTTCAGACCATAAGTTCACTACTTTGACTTTTAACGATCTTCAACCAGCTTGTCTAACATGACAGAACCTGACAGGAGTTTTTCAGCCAATATAGCTCGACTGGGTCATTATGATATGTAAGCCTTACCACACGAAGATAGTAGAAACGGTTGGGTGATATGAGAATCTATAGTAATAACTCTTGTTTCTTTAACTTAGTAACAATTGCTACGTGATTTGCATTACAACATAAAATTTGATTGGCAACCAAACACTGTGACTAATAATAATGATACTACAGAAGAAAATAAAACGATAAAAAACTACACCCGAGATTTAGTCAGGTAACTTACTTTGCCCCAGTCATGTCATTATCATCGGAACCAGACTCAGATCCGTCCGATAAGTCAAAACTTCCATTCATAGGATCATCATTCATGATTGAATTATTTTGTTTAAATTCATATGTATTGTCTTCACTGATCTCATTGAAGTGACAATAAAACCCGTGAATAGCTAAAATTACTTGTGCACGTAAATTTTCTCGGCGTTTCGCAACATCATCGGCACATTTCACAATTGAAATACCTTTAAAAGGACATTTTTAGAAATAAAAAACTGAATGTAGAAAGTGCAAACAGTGAAACAGATTATATTTAGTCGTATTTGCAGAAAATAAGTCGGTATGACCAGAAATTGTAACGTCGATTAAGTTACTGTACTAGAAGTGTATGAGTGGTTGACAGTTTCTGGTCATACATACAGTAGGAAACTTCCAATTAAAAGGTCTGAAAAGAAAAACTGGATTACTATCATAGGTCATGTCAACTTATGAGCGTAACTGCAGAGCATAGGGGACAACAGTCTGAGGCTGGTGAATTACGACTGAGTAGTTTTGAAACCTTACCACCGGAAGTGGAAGTTCGTAGGTCTAAGTGAAGTGTTTTGTCTTGGTGCAAGCGGGATATAGATTGGATTAAAGTATGTTTTGTGCAGGATTGTGTTAGGGCACGCTGATTGGCTTTTTCTTAACTAATCGGCTCTAGAGGATACTTAGAGAAGAATTTAGAATCTTCTTATAGAAAAGTTATGAATATGCTGACGTTTTTTTATTGTGATCCCTACTTTTATCCGCTCTTGTTATTCGGAGTATAATTACGTTCCAGTTCCACCGTGTTCTGATTTAGAGACTTGTCGAATGAAGTTGTGTTTGAGAATACTAAACAATAATAGCTAGGTCGTAATAAGAGAAGTCATAACACATAGTGACAAAGCTTTTAATCCCTCTTTTAATTTTTGGGAGTGCAGCATCACTGGAGATGCTGGTTATTTGTGATAAACATCTTACTCCTGCCATACCCTAGTAATGTCGATAATAACCTATCATTTTACATTAATTTTACATTCTGTAGTCTAATGGCTCTAAGACCAACCTATATCCTAAGGTAGAAAGAACCTCAAAGAATATTTGTGTTCCGGCCAAAACAGATTGAACAGGTTGTCATGACGAGCAAGCCCAAACTCTGACTTAATGCTAATAGAAAACCTTAGAATTTCAAAATAAGATGATACGTAGAATATAGAGGACAATAACGTTATAATTGCCTGCAATAACCAATTAGATTTAACCTCAACAGAACCTGGTAATCACTTGTGGAGGCATTTTACTTTTTAAGGTCCACACTGATTGAGCCTGAAAAAACAATGAATTTGATGATTAAACCATTCAGCTTAGAGAACATAACTTTATAAAACGGTAGTCGTCAAAATATCAAAATTCAATTCAATATTTTCCAGTTATTAAAGCACTCTTAAAATTATTGTATAAATGTGTGCTAAAGTCTCTCTTAAGCATAGCAAAGATCAGTAAGAACCTGAAAAGGATACACAAGGAATTGAACAGAATAGCCCTAATTCGTTTTATTTCAGTGGGTTCTCATTAGGTACTACTAAAAAGCTGTGATATCAACTAACAGAAACGTCTGAGAAGGTTTGTACGGAAACTGCCCGTGATGAGTTGATCTTAAAGTATTGGGATAAGCATTACGATGAGCACAATTAAACGATTAGCTAGAGTGTCAACTGTTTAACCTAAAATCGTTTTCTGAACGTACCTGGAATAAGATGTGAAATCGGGAGAAGAAGATCAGTTATTTGGTCAGCCAACCTTTCAAATACCATCGCGAGTTTTGATTGGACAATGGGTTTTTCAAACGAAACAAACGTACTGTCTATAAAGCATATTGGTTGGTTGAAAAATGAGGTATAAGTAACGAAAGAAGTAGATACTAAATTTTTATGTGCAGACGACCACACTGCTAAGATGCGTTTATGAAAATTCAACATGTAGAAATGGTAATGAGAGATATGTAACATAGTACAGTCAGTTATAACAAAAAAAGAACCTGCAACATAAATATGTTGATCTAAGTTCTAGAAGCACATAAATAACTTTAAACTGAAGCTTTATCAATGTGACTACCAGTGTCGATTAGATGTGTAAAGAATGAGCTTCTTTTGTTGAAGCACTAGTTTTGTTCACGGCAAACAATATAATCTCGAGGTTTGGTGTCATATTTCAAGGCATAAATGAAATCAGTAAAGAATAGCAAAGTTCACTTCATGAGGTTGAATTCTGTAGTTTAGACGTAACTTTAATAAAAGGTACTAAATAATTCCATGCCAAACCTTGATTTTAAAAGCCATCGGGAAAAATCAAGGTAGAGATTAGCATGTACGAGGTGAAACCATATGATAAATTATACTCATTCAAACACTGAAATCTTGTGCACTATAACTAACCATGGCAATCATGTTATATCCTACCGAAGAATAAGTGGATGGTAACTGATAGGGATTATTTATGGACTGTTATATATATATTCTTATTGTATAACTATGAAGTAACTAGATTATACATATTTATATTTCATATTATAAGCATTCATTTGACCCATTGGCTACTTTATACGATTAACTATTCTTAAGTTATTTAAATCTATAAGTCACAGTCTCTCACATTTACAGTCACTTCTAGTTTGATCTTGTGTAATTGTTATTTTATATTTGATGGTGTGATGTGGTCTGGCTTGCTTGTGTATAAACTGCGTATGTTCGAAATATATGATTCATAGAGTGAGAGCTCAGATTGTGCTACATATTCAACGGGCAGGACCAGGCAAGAAGCTACTATACAGAGGACTAAAAAAGATATAGAGTTGACTCAAGACTGCTCAGCTTGTTAACGTTTCATTGGTCGAGCACAGGGCCAAGAACATATAAGTCAATGTTCTGAATAGCGATCTTGTCACGTGATAATTAACGGGTTATAGGGAATAACATACTACACTAAAGATAATAGTGTGTACCAATTACCGAGATGTAAGTTGTCAGTCAGCTACAACGTAGAAACCGGCACATATATACATCGCTCCAAGTTGCCATACCTCATTAGCACTACAACATGAATACCAAACCCATAAATGTAGTTATTTCAATGGTAGTAATATATAAAAGAAAGATTGTGTATAAGGATATATTGCAGGAAGAAAGAATTGACAGAAAGGAAGACAGAAAGTAATTTCAGTCTCACGGTTTAAAGGAAGATAAAAAGTTTATACACCTATGGCATTGTGATTGATCTTTATACATGTCACCCAGAGTCTCCAACCATTGGTTACGGTAGTCATGCGGACCCCAACCAAGTAGCCTGTATCTAGCAACATGGATAGAACCAGAAGTTAGACGTAAGTTGATGTTTGAGTCAATAAACACCTATTTCTATCATTATCTTATAAATCTCGATTCGTCTGAACAGTAATAGACAGGTATTAAGGAGCTTGTTAACAACGTGAAATTGGTAAACAAAGGTTAGTTCAGGTTCCACACCTGGTATTAGGAGATACATAAACAGAAAAGCAACATGAAAAACAGTTCCCAAATTTTGTCCGAATACGTTTTTTAGGATACATAATGCAAATAGCAACCTACTGTAAGTTCTAGAGGCAAATTATGGGACATACGAATAGAAATTTGTAATGTATACCTGAAGGAAGTGTCATAATCACAGGCTTTTCTGAAAATACTTTCCCTGTCACACGTGATCTTATTTTCATTAGGTCATGTCGCAGACTGACGAGTAGGGGATGACATTGACTCTGTTGTTTAGATGACTTGGATAGACGTACCAAACGTGACAACTTTTGACATAAACGCAAACGATTTTTTCTAAGATCTGAACACATTTGAAGGTCATTAAAGTTGGCTCCGGACTGCTCACGTGCCCAAGCATAAACACTACCTAAAATGAAGTTAGTGAGAGGAAACATGCGGTTGAAAACATAAGAAACATATATTCATAAACAAAAGACGAATACGAAGTGCCTTGGTGTTGCTGCCTACAGAGGGGATAGTTCTGAAGACATAGTTGAGAAGAGCCATTAGATGCAGCGGTCTGATCCGAGTACAAGACGTCAAGTAGAGTGGTCTGGCTAGGCGGCGTTGGGTGTAGCAGTTTCTGTAGACGGGGAGGAAACGTAGAAAATACTGGGTGGACATCAGATTTAGATGACCCAGCATGTCGATAGAACCACAGAGTTCGGCATGACGGCGAGAAAGGCGCAGACCATGACAAAGAAAGTGGCACGGCGAGCAGAATGACTGCGAGAGAGATTTCTTAAAGAGCTGAAGTGTGGTGTACACTTCGTACGTGGACAGATATAAGTAGTATGTAGCAGGATTACGAATTGGAATGCTTACCAGCAGAAGAGTGAGTTGAAGAGAACAGGAAGAAAAACGGAGAGCAATTGGAATGACAAGAGAATCAGAAGAATGGAGTATGTAAAGAACAACTGAAGGAAGATGTGCAAATGATGTGTTTAATGTATGATTTTCATATTTTACAAAATCACTATGTAACTTTGTAAAAAGCAGTAAATCGGTTTTCCCCATCAAGTCTTCGTTCACTAAATAGGTAGTTTAATTATTCGTAAACCATTATATAAAAGGACTCGGCTGTGTTGTTTATCAAAGCTAATTAATTTCGAAGTCATCAACTATATTTAAATTCCAGAAGACTGCAAGAAGTAAATATTTGATAACTTAAGGTCGAGACTTGTTCAGTTTATTGTTTCTGAACTCGAATTTAAGGTTTCGTGCTTACGGAGTGTGAAATTTTAAATGCCGAATTTGTATAACTCATTCCTCTGCTGATTCTTAATATTTTTCGTTTCGTTTTTTTTTCATTAGCAGATTTACAGTGTATACATTAACTCCTAGATTTAACACCAAGACAAAGGTTAATAAACGTTAAACTTTAACTAATGAACATTCAGTCAGTCAGTCAGCTACAACGTAGAACCCGGAACACATATACATCGGTCAAAGTTGCTATATCTCATTAGCACTACAAGATGAATACAAAATCCACCGTAGTTAATTAAATGGTGGTGATATATAAAAGTTAGATTGCATACAAGGGCATAGTACAGAAGGAAAGAATTAATTGGTAGAAGTAAAGACGTAAGTAATTTTAATCTCACGGTTTAAGAGAAGATAGTGTATACACCTACGTCACCCAGTCTTGAACCATTGGTTACGACAGTCACGCGGACCCCAACCAAGTAGTCTGCATCTAGGAACACGATTCAGACCAAAAATAAATGACTTCAAGCACCAATGCTATGTTTTGGTAAGGCCGCCCCTAACTCTCTTTCAACCATCCCCAATACTAGTCAACATTGCGCGTGGTGGTAACTAAAGAACATTGGTCACAGCCTTCAACTTCATTAAATTTATATAAAATCAGAAATAAAGCTGATGTCATCTCAAAAACCTATAACCGAATAATAAAAGTTCAGGAAACCACGAAGAGTTTCCTCTCATTACTTATAAGTTAAATGCAAATTCCCACTGAAACACTCGATAAAAAACGGATGGAATGAAATGTTTTCCTCCAACTATGTCAAAATCCAATCTGCCTAGTTTTGCTTGAGCCAACAGCTAAAATTACTAACACAAACAGAGTGACATCGAATGATGTATCGTTACTAAACGAATGTTAGGTTTCCTATTAAAAAAAATCCACTACCCAATGAATTTCTGCTTCCTGCTTACAGAATGTTAGGTTTATAAACTTCGATTCAAAAATAACCAACCAACAGGCCGATGGTATGTTGATAAGTGCAGAATGTTTTATGAAATTTGATGGTAAGCTAGATAATCTGGAATAAGTTTCAGATACTAGCTAATCTGACGTAAATACTGACTCACCTAGCTTAATGGATGAGAGAGAAGGATGATTTCTTGCCTTCAAAACATGTACAGAGTACTGTTTGCACATATCTGTAACTGTTTTCTCAAAATCTTGAATGATGGATGTTATCCTTATTTTTCCATTATGAGGATGATTATAGGTACGTGAAACAACTAGACCAACAATAATAATTAGTCTCGATAACAGTTTTACCTTGATCAAATTCACAGGATAGCTTCTTGACAGCTTTGGAAACTATATTCGCAGAATGACGATCCACTGAATAATAACCGGCTACCAATAAAAATATAAAATGTTAACGCAAACGCACATGTTATTCTGACTTTTGATTTGCCCCCATCAAACACAGATATGCTATTGAGATTTTTTTGCGATTCAACACCACGAATCTGACGTTCAATATAAGACTCCAGCTCATCCACAACATCGACACCCACAAACTCATTGCAACCCATGGGACTTGTGCAGAGTCGGCCCGTTCTGACCTTGAATTCGACCTTTAATCTTAAAAAAGACACCAATACCGAGGCCTAAATAATGTGTCCAATGAATGAAACGACTTTATTCAAATGGTTCAAATGGTTGAGGACGGAGTAGAAAAAGCTTTAACTTAACGTGCTTTCGTGTCTAGTAGCAGTGGATCACCGATACCTTCAAGCAAAAACCTGAATATATTAACGACAATAGAGGAAAAAAAGAATTTGGTAAATCAAAATAATATGTTATCCTTAGTCCTTAAGAATAAGTAAAGTTTCCCTGTGAAAGGACTCCTGGGAAGTCGCTTGAACTAGCTCAGTCGGCAGCGAATTCCAGCCTTTGATAACTCTTACGCAGTAGAAGTTGTGTCTGCAGTTTGTTCTGCTATGTTGGGTCTCCAGTTTCTGGGTGTTGCCTCTTAGGTTAGTGTTGTGACTAAGCTTAAGAAGACGTTTAAGAGGGTGACCAGAAGTATCAAGAATACTGTAAGTCATAAGAAGGTCACCTCTAAGACGCCTGTACTCTAACGGGTAAAGGTTAAGTGATTGGAGGCGCTCTTCGTAAGCTTTCAATTTGAGTCCCCGAATACGTTTCAGAGTATCCTTATCTTTTTGGAAGGAGGGAGGGAATAATATGTTTCCATACTCTAAATGGGCACGAATAAAACTGTTGAAGATTATGTGGAAGGTTCTACCGGCAAACTGGCCAAAAATGCGCTTTAATCTTACCAGATCAAATGATGAAGGATATCTATGGAATCACGAGAAAGCAGAACAGAGCACTGAATAAGTCGCTAAAAGAATGACACGTTATCGTAAAGAATAGGTTAATTATGTGCTCAGTGTCTTCAAAAATTCTGCAACGAAAACAATATGTATTTTCAAGTTATATCTCTATAAAATTACTCAGAAACATGCTCTTTACCCAATATTTAAAATAATACTGATACGTTAATGCACGTTTAAAGGTATAGTATTTTATAGATAACTAGTATTTTCATATCTAAGTAGAGATATTCAATTACTATTCTGCGACAATAGAATTCAGAGATAAATTTCATCTTATTCCCTTGAAAGAACCATATATAATTTGAGGGGACAGCGTAGAACTCTTCAAAGTCTAAAGTGATATATCTGCGACGTGTGAAAACTATATATATATATTACTCGAGTTGTGGAACCTGCTGATGACTGGAGTAGTTAGAGCCACTGTCTATGATTTCTTTACAAGAAACCTGGGTATGTTTCTTGGGACACAAAGTGGCTTTTAATTGGGTCGCTTGCAAAAATATTACTGATACCTAGCGTTCGTGAAGATTAACAGCCGAAATACTTTATAAAACAGTGTCAAGGCCATTCAAAGTAGATGTGAAAAATGAAGTGATGCAAACTTATGTCAGAATCAGTGTAGAGAACTTGTATACCTACTTATTATTATTATTATTATTATTCTAAGGATTTATTTAACACTACACGAGTATTTTTAGGACTTTATGCACAGGTTAATGTTGACGCAACTTTCCATGGTGGTAGAACAGTAGGTTTAATTCAACAATATACACTTGCCGTGATGTGACTACCTAACCTAACGTAGAAGTCACACCATTGTTTATTCTGACCTGTCCTAAGTGATAATCAGTAGTATGCGTTGTAAGAACCTTTGGATAACTAATTTGAAGTAGGGATAAAACAATATATTTGATATATAAGCCAGGAGATTCAGAACAGTGACCGTGTCTGAATGGTCGAGTTATACCATTTTCCATAATTGTCATTGCTTTTGTCTTCATTGATCTTCAAGCGTTCAACATTTAAGGTAAGTTTCTCAGTCACTTTGCGTTGAGATTTAAAAATCGGGTAGTTAGGATCCACTGCTTAGAGTATCACCCCGTAATCCTTGTACTCGGGTGCCTCTGAGTCTGATAGCGGTACACAATAAATCAGTCAGTCACAAAGTAAAACTTTGCACGTACGTACATCAGTTTGAGTTGCCCTACTACATTAGCACAGAGATGCAGTTGTCGATTCAAATCTCATAGTGATAGAGGTTTTAAGAGTATAAAAAGTAATCCGAAAGCTTAAGGTTTGACGATGTTATTGAAGGAGTATATTTTAGTGAAATAAATTTGGGAAGAAGGAAGAGAAATGGACATCAAGAATTCACAAGATTAGAATTTGGTAGAACACAAAGAGTGGATGCACCTATGCTATCGCAAACGATTTTGAGACATGTCATTCGAGGTCTCTAAACACTGGTTGTTATCATCTCGTGGATCTCAACCAGGCAGTTAACACCTATCAACATGGCTCAGTCCACTTGCTTGGATGCAAAACTTGAGTTTAGAAAGCATGAAAACAGTAGATAATGTCAAAAAGGTTTTAAAATCCACGAAGCTGAAGACTATGTAGTGACTAAAGCGTTCCAAAATATTCAGCAAAAATCTCACCGGAGAGTGCAGTACTTCTCAAGTATTAACTGGTGGTGACTTTTTTATGTCCTATGGCTACCAAATACCACTTGATGAAATCGCCAATCAAGAAACCGACTCATGTGTTTCTGGTCCTGTGCTCAACTAATGATACGTTACCAAGCACGAGCAGCCATCAGTCAACTCTGTATCCCTATTGGTCCTCTGTATAGTAGCTTCTTGCCAGGTCCTGCCCGTTGAATCCGGAACACAATCTGAGCTCTTACTCTACGATTCATCTTTTTCAGACACACTCTATCCTTGTCGAGAGACTGTTACTCAACAGAGGTAACAAACAATCAAAATGGAATTTCGAAGCTTTAAACTGCTCTGTATATTTTCATGTCTTTAGCACACAACAAAACCAATTAGTTTAGGAAGCTAGAAAGGTCGCTGGCGTACATGAAGAATTACTCCGATCACAAAACTCAACCCTTCGAAACCAATTGATCACAGTCTTCCTGCTTGCCAATTTGGAGTTAACACGTACTTTTTGAATTATGGTCTAATTCAGCACCATAATAATAGATCTAATCCCCAAATTGTTGATTTGCCATGACGTGACTACCTAACCGAAAAGATCTTAAGTGAAAGTCGTACCATTCGCTTCACTGACCTGTTCTGTCGTAATATTCAGCAATGCGATGTTTAAGACTTTTGAAGAACACATTTAGGGTGAGAATAAAATGACACATTTTATGTGGAAAGATATGAGTAACAGAATCAGTACACCAGAAATACTGAGTCATGTGGTACTGATAATCTACTCCCACGTTCATCATTTTTGACCTCCTATATGTGTTACATGCTGAATGCAAACTTTTTAAGTAATTATATGCTCACTTTCATACTTCTATTTGACGGTCGGTTAGGAAATAATTAAAATGTAAGATTTTAAATCTCTAAAAAGCGCACCTAGCACATAAAAAAGCCATTACACCGGCCCACCATACTAATCTACTGAAACATTGCTTATTTTTCTTGTTTGATGTACCTAGGTACCTTGAGGCATTAGTAATTTATTGCTAATATATACAGAAGATTGTCAAACGTAGTGAACTGTTTGTACCGTATGAAAAACGATAAGTGGAACATGAGACAGTAAATACTACAGGCATTTGTAACTCGGTTATGTTTCCAGCAAATATGAAGCAAGACATCACATGTTTACGAGACCGTAGCAACTGTCACTGTCATGCACTTACATTCATTTTTCTAGCTTTTAGACAAACTTCAATGATTAAGAAAGCAGGTGACTTGGATCATTTCAACCTAACTAATAAATATCAATCATCAGAAGGGGTTTTGTGTAGATTTACAATTTTTCATAGTTGAATTCATGAGTCAATCGAAGCTAGACCACCATGGAAAACCTGGAAACACTGGACGGCCGTTTCTTCCTATTATGGGACTCCTCAGCAGTGCGCATCCACGAACCCGCTCTAGCGAGATTCGAACCCAGGGCATACCAGTCTCGAGCCAGAGCCCTTAACCGATAGACCACTGAGCTGACATCCAACGGTGTTAATGTCTAACTTCAACTGATCCACGAAGTTGAGCAACCATTTACCAATTGTCTTCAGTGAGTTCCTATCTCACAACAGACGTGGTTTTGAACTCCACTGGTCACTGCTTCTCACGAGAGCTCTTAGATATACTTCTCGAATAAATATCTTCCAAAGGAAGTTTTGGCCTTCGACACATATACCTCTTGTATTCCTTTCGTTGTGATCCGACACTATCAAATGCATGCTTATGTGTTTGATTGTACACCTATGGTTCCATTCAACTAACTTCTATGTAGCACTGCGCATTACTTATTTTGTGTTATGTTGACAATTGTAATGAAGAATATTTTTGAGTCGGCTGTGAAGCTATTCTCTACATTTCTTTCATTACCTGATGCCTGTGTAAATGAAGATCCAAAATAAACACATCCAATCCAATTATAATTATGTTTTATTACCACCGAAAGTCAACAGATTTCATTTAAGCATAATACACGGAGTTAAAAGAAGGACCCATATTTTGTACTACATTCATAATCATTGGATATAGAGTCAGATTGCGGGCACAACAGAACTAACTTCACTCTAGTTTATCTCGTACACTTTCATAAATTTGTTTTTATAATTTTCGTTAGCCATTTTGCATGTTTCTATGTTCTCGCTGTGTGTGTATTTGTCTATAGTTGCCTAATCATCTCATAATTCGTATATTTAATGTATGAACTACTTCATACTTGAATTTTTTTAAAAAGCCAATTTTTAAATCTTAAACTCATTGCTCTTACTATAAGGCTTATTCTAAGTTTATATGAAGCACTCCAAATACTAATATTTCGCATCATAAAATTGATTTGTTATAAACAATTCAAATCAAATCAAACGTAAGCAATTAATTCTGACCTTTATTTCAACACTATAGAGGAAACGCAGTTATTCATACGACTTCGATTGACAATGTTCTTCGTTGCTCTAGACATTCTATTAGATCCCTGATCTGCCTAATCATTAATCGCCACTTAAACAGACATCTGTGAACAGAACATAAACGAATATGTACAGTGGTATATGCGTTAACATTTCATGAGCATCCTATAAGCTGTTGAATTTTGTTATTAACTAGATACCCACTCTGTGAAGAAAAGATATAACATTTACTTTAAGTTCAAACTTATCAAAGGGATTTATTCTAGGTGCTCTTCTGTAGGTGTGTAAGATCAAAAATGAATAGTTCTCTGTTTTGTACTACTATATCTCAACATTTTAATCAAGTTGTCTTCTACTTACCGGATATGTAATTATTTATTGAAAGCAGGTTGATTCACTCTATGAGCAGTTATAATTCATAATGATAATATTAAAGATAATAAAAATCTAGAGTTGCCACATGTTTCTCATGATTAAATTGGTCTGTAGTGACCTGTTTTTCTTGACGAGAACGCGATTGGTATAATGGAAACAATTATTATTATAACCAATTGTACCAGCGATTGTTTTACTGTACTCGTTGTTGTTCAACTGTATCAAAGTCACTTCTCGTTCCGCTATCCATCTTGTCCGCTCGAACTTACTAACGCTCTGCCCTTATTGCCTGTACTCGTTGGCATGTCTCGGTATTCTTTCAATACCAAGAGATCGCCAATAAATATACTTTATATGAACAAGCTACAACCTTCTGGTTTACGAGCTAGCCAAGGATATCAAGTCGTTTTCGGGCGCGTAATCTTGTTGTAGTGGTGATCATAGTCAATCGACGCCATCTACAGGTCCATTATTTCTTCTATCAAAGACAAAAACAAGAAGATGTTTTTGATTGTTACGAAATTTATTAGGTCTTTGAACATGAATAATAAGTCAATCCACAATATAACAAATTCATAAGTATGAGAAATATATATATAAAGTACAACAAAAGTTGGCATTGTTAAACGGCGGGTATGAGATTTTTCTTTCTCCTGGCCGGTATAAAGTTAATTTACATGAAGTCCGTTATTTCGCCTTCTTCATTCAAATATCTTCTAACCCCTAGAATATTATAGAAAACATTAACAGGTTACATATTTTGAATCTTGAACATTACCATTTGCATTCTCATTTTCATCATTTGATCTGATAATAATTGAAGTTTCTTGTTTCGTTCTTCTAATTGATTTTTTAATGTATCAATTTCATAATCTTTACGTTTTAATTTCTCTTGAGTAACTTTTCTTTGACGTTGTTCCTAGTTTGGTTTAAGGGAAATGAGATACAAAATGTAACATGAAGGTTAGAATGGAAAAGATATGTCGAAGGATTCATTTATGTATTACAGTTTAAATTTATTATCCCAAGTTCAGTTATATAAGTGCAGAATTAACAGTCCAATCAATTATATCAGTGTTATTTCATTGTGCAATTCACTTAAAGTGTAATTCACTTAATGCACAAGCATGTGGCTATCAAAACTGACTGGCCGAGTGGATAACGAGATAGCGTTTGAAGCTGAAGGTACTGGGTTCGAGTCTCAGAGTGAACATCAACTCTTAGATGAAGGTACATTCGGCTGACGAGTCCCAAATAAGAAGAAACGAACGTCGTGGATTCCGCTGCTAGACACTATCCATCTTTGCTTACCATGCTTGTGAATTAAGGTTATATCGAGGTAACACACATAGTATCCACATATGCCAATTAGAGACTGACCGGTTGCAGTACTAACACATCGATGGGAAGATTCAAACAAACAATACTAAATGAATTTCAACTTAAATATTGTTGATTTGACTGTTCCACAAAATATGATTCACATATATTGTAGGCAATATATTGCTCATGAAAGTGAGAGGCGTGCGTAGGTTGCAACCTGTTGTGTCTACAGAAGATTAAATTATGAGTAACCTCTAAGAACCATCTATGAACTTTTATTATGTATATTATCATTGTATAACTATGTAGTAACTAGATTGAACATATTAATATCTCATATTACAAGCTTTCATTTGACCTATGGGATAATATCATACGCTTAACTATTATAAGGTTATTCCAGTCTATTAGTTACCATCTCACACATTCACAGTCACTTTTAGTTTGATCTTGTATAATTGTTATTTTCCATTTCATGGTGTGATGTAGTCTGGCTTGCTTGTATATAAACTATATAAGGTTGAAATACATGATTCATAGAGTGAGAGCTCAGATTGTGTTCCGGATTCAAATGGCAGGACTGGGTGAGAAGCTACTATACAGAAGACTAATAGGATATAGAGTCGACTCAAGGCTACTCGTGCTTTTTATCGCATCATTCCTTGAGGACAGGGCGAAGGTCACATAAGTCGATGTTCTGACTGGCTACCTTGCCACGAGATATTTTGACGACATAACACAAATGTTTGATTGCATGTCTCGTTTAAGAATTACTAGCATAGGGTAAAACCAATGAATAAGAAATAGCGACATTAGAATATATATATATATAGTCAGAAAGGGGGTTTTGTGGAGATTGTAGTAATTTAATACTTGGATTCATGAGTCAATTAAAGCTAAACCACACAAGGAAAACCTGGAAGCGCTGGTCGGCCATTTCGTCATAGCACTGCTGAGGAGTCCCATACCAGGACGAGACGGCCATCCAGTGCTCCCAGGTTGCCCATGGTGGTCTAGTTTTAATTGACTCATGGTCTCAACTATTAAAATTACTGTAGTATTCACTAAAACCCTTTCTGATATCAATCAACATATGCTCACTAGTGATGGGCTTCAAGAGGTATTTCCTGAAGTTCTAGTGAGAAGCAGTGAACAGTGGAGTTCAACCGGGTGTGTTGTGAGATAGTAATTCACTGAAAACAATGATGGTCTGTGGCGCAATTTCGTGGATCGGTTGATGTTATACATTAATAACTTTGAATGTCAGCTCAGTAGTCTAGAGGTTAAGCGTTAGCCTGTGAGGTCCTGGGTTCGAATCGTGCAAGCAGGGTCGTGGATGCCCACTTCTGAGGAGCTCCACACTAGGACAAGATGGCCGTCTAGTGCTTCCATGTTTTCCATGGCGGTCTAGCTTTAATTGACTCATGAATTCAACTATTTTATATATATTTGCATATTACTTCAATTCATTACCTTGTCAGATTGTTCATTGGATGATTGACGGGGTTGTTTCTTCTGTGGAGGAACTACCTTAATTGAACTAACATTAGAAGTTGGTGTTGAATTCTATCGTGAAAAAAATCATAGGTACAAAGTGTTTTAATTTAAATAGGATATAGTATAAATGATTTTAAATAAACATATAGTACATAACTAAACAAAGCATGCAACTATCCACTTGGTCCATTTCTGAGTATACAATCTCTCAATTGAAATGATTCATATGTTTGCTCAACGTTGAGTTTAGTCGTCTTACCACTCAACATATCTATATGTTGAGATCGTGGATGCGCACTGCTGAGGAGTCACACAATAGGACAAAACGACTGTCCAGTACTTCCAGGTTTTCCTTGGTGGTCTAGCTTCAATTGAGTCATGTTTTCAGTATTCACACACTAATTCGTATATCCTGCTGTATGATATTACTGAATAATACAGTGATCATAAGCTTGCATTTGCTTATAGATATAATCAAAACTTACTCTGGACTTTTTAAATGCAGCTACTGAACGTTGTTCATTCAATAAATCTTCACGTGTTCTATCTAAACTTTGTCGTAATAATTGAATTTCTGTTTCTTTCGAGCGTAATTGATTAATGAATTGATCTACTTGTTCACTTTTTGCATCTGCCAATGCTTCAGCTTGTCTTTAAAATGATAGAAATATAGAAAAAAAATATTTGATTGATGCAGTTAAAGTTTTGTGGAGGTTGGTATAATCTTTAGGTTGTATTTGTCAAAGATTAGTCTGATTTTGAACACCAGTGAAAAGCGGAGAGAACTATACATCAATTCCGTTCTAATATAATACTTCCCGAGAATATAATGAATGAAACAACTATCATTAGTGGTCATTGGGTTATCTTCCTGACAGCATCTGTTACCTTGACAGCGTATACAGAGTTGAGTCAGAAAATAAGATTCTAGCATATATATATATATATATATATATATATATATATATATATATATATATATATATATAGCATTGTGTTTAGGGTAGAACAAACTTTCCTTAACTAGATTCCTATACGCAGTCGATTGTGCACTGTTCGAATAAACGGGACAGTAAGAATTCGAAGGACAGGGACACTAAACGTCATTTCTCCTTTGCCTCTCCCTGCGCTCCCACTAGCTGCAACTCGGATGAAGTTAGAGATGAATTTTATAGGACGCTACTCAACCTCTTTCAAAAAGCTAAACGATCTGACTTCGTAATAGTGTCAGACGATTTCAATGCTCAAGTAGGTAGACTAAACCAAACCAAAAGGCACTTAGGGGGATTCTACGGTGTTACGGCTCAGAAAATTGATAATGGCGATCGTATGTTGCAAGTGTTTCTAACAAACAACAACTTTAGGCATCAGGAAGAACATGTGGCGACCTCACAGTCGACATAACGATAGACTCAAAAAGACCACATCGTCATCAACCATCATTGGAGAAACTGACTTGAAGACTATCACTCATTATAGAGAAGATATCTAGACGCAGATTTTTCTTCACCTCGAGCAAGTATTTATTTGTGTCTTACTGGACATAGAAATCCACAGCAAGAAAACCCCTTAATAATGAAAGGGTTAGGAATATATTCCGGGAAAAACTAGAGAAGGAGGTGGCCAACTATGAAAGTGATATCCATCCTGATGAAGCGTGGCATGGTATCCTCAAAGCTGTGGAAACAGCAGTTATATCTATCAGAAAATTAAATCAAAACGTTTAAAAAACCGAGAGGATTTTAACGGTGCCTACGGAACTTATAGGTACTCAGAAACTCATCACATATGGCTCTGAAGACGATGAGGAGAGAAGAAAGCCGACGCAATGATCGCAGATGGTAGTGGATAGTGAAAGCGGAGGAGATGAAAGGTAGCGGTGTCAAGTAATAGTAGACAGCTATCCAGATTTATCAAGGAAACGGCTGTTAAAATTCTGGCTGTTAGTGAAACTATCTCGAAAAATACGGGACTACTATTCAATCTCAATCCAGGAGATTAAACCAGTGGGCAGGACACTTTAGAGAATTGTTCAACTGACCTTCAGCCACACTTCAGTCACCCACTAAGTCCAAGTGACCTGAATGGGAAATTGATATAAAACTTCCAAACCCAACTCAAAAAGGCAATTAGTAATCTAAAAGAAGGGAGAGCAGCAGGTTTAGATGGACTAATACCTGGGATTATTCAGGATGATAGTCCAGTTTTAGAATTTACATTAACTGAAATCTAAGCTAAAATCCAGAAACTGGATTTAATCCCATGTGATACTGTTGATCGTCGATCATCCCACTTTGTAACAAAAGACAAAACTCCTCTTGTGATGGTCAAAGAGGAATCAATTTAATTAATATAGTGTCTAAAATATTAGTGTCAGTAATACTTAGACTTAAAACTGGAGCTCATGAAGAGTAAACCCGGGAAAATCGGGCTGGTTTCAAAACTGGATGTGGATGCATAGACCAAATATTTACCCTTACGGAGATTTCAGAACACAAACATACTTTTCGACGTCCGACTATAGTTGCCCTCATTAACCTTAAAGGCGGGGTTCGACTCTGTTGATCGTAGGGTTTTGGGAACTGTCTTTTATTGAAAGGAGTATCAAAAAGAAAATTAATCTTGTACAGGCTTTCTACCAGAAAATGACTGATCGAATTATAACCCTTGGAGAACTATCATTGGAACAGGTTTGTTAGGGTTGTCTACTTTACCTATTTTTCATTAACTTTGTCACAGACATGCTCTTATTGAGAACACATTTATCGTCTGACTTTTCAAGGGTTCGTCTTTTACCAGGGAATTCGCTTGTTCACTTAGAATTGTTAACTACGAAGTAACCACCCCCATTGCGCGACTGACTTAGAATACACGTATGATCTAGTTTTTCTTGATGAGGACGGCGAAAAAATGCAGAATCTTCTGATCACCATAGACAACAGTGCAAGCGTGCTTGAGATGCTGTTCTCCCCTTTCAAATGCAAAATGTTGCTTCACGATTAGCTTGCATCAGCGCCCGGATCAATGATTAGGAGTGAAGTAATTACTTATATCAACTACTTCACTTATCTCGGAAGTCTAACCAGTTATGATGTTCTGGTGTCCGACGAAATCTCTGCGTCGACTCGAAAGGTTCTATTTGCTTTTGCCGACTTACGTCACTTGTGGAGTAGATATCATTATGCTAACCAAAAGACGAGTTTACTGAGCAGCAATTTGAACCGTCCTGAGCAGCAAGAATGGACGATATTTGTAGGCTATTAGTATTCAACCAAAGGTGTTATCGAAGCAATGTTCATGCAATTTGAAACCACCGAGTAAGCAATGAGTGGGGTAGGAATAGAGTACCAGGTAAGAGTGGTAAATCAATTGATGGGGTATTAAATCTTCACCACTAACAGAGGTGAATGAGACATGTATTACGTATGCCAAACCAGCACCTACCTCGACGAACGGCGTTGTCTTGTATACAGCTGGTTGGAAGAAAGGTAAGGGCGGTCAAACCAAAACACACCATCAATTTATGAATAAGGCATGTTAGCAGATGTAGACTACCTGATTGGGGTCCACGTGATTATCGTAACCAGCGGTTGGAGACTGAATGACGCTGCTCAAAATGGCTTGCAATGGCACAGGTACATACAACTTTTGTTTTACGCCAAATTCTGAGATTCTAAATTCTTAATAACTTTTTTTCGTTTCTGTCTCGCTAATCGATATTTTCTTGAGTCTTTTCTTCAATGAATAATCTTCTGAATCATCACTGAGACTGTTACTAACCCTACAATTCTAGGGTATGGCTTGACAATTTATTATCTCTATGTTAATGGTGGGGTGCGGCTATTTGAACCAATGTAAACAAGTACAGGTTCTACGTTGTGATTGACATACTGATTGAGTGATTGTAGCATTAAATCAGAAGTCTAGTGAAATTGGAATTGTATCACTAGACTATTACTAACCCGCTCTAAAGGTTAACCGTTCGCCTTGAGACCTAATAGTCCCAGGTTCGATCCCCAGTTGGATCATGGGTGCTCATCAATGAAGATGAAATAGAGACCAATTGTGCCTTATTACCTATCTGGGAAGAGATCTTTTTTTCAATTTGTATTTACAATGAAATAGAGTTACTTGATTGTCTTACATAATAACTATTTATTATCAAGCATGGTAAGGAAAGATGGATAATGACTAGCAGTGGAATCCAGGACGTGCGCCACTTCGTTCTATTTGGGATTTTTCAGTTGGATGTACCTGCATCTCAGAGTTGATGTTCACTCTGGGATTCCACTGCTAGCCACTAGCCATCTTTGCTTACCATACTTGTGAATTAAGGCTACATCGAGGCAATACGCACAGTATGTACATATGCCAATAAGAGACTGATCAGTTGCAGTCCTAACACATTGATGGGAAGATTCAAACAAACAATACTAAGTTGTACTTATTATTAAATTATGATAATCTACCTACTTTAATCGACTCATATCACGTTCATATTCATTAAGTAAATTTTCTTTATGTTGAACTTGATCTTTTAATATTTCAATTCTATGAGATAATAATTCAATTGTAGTTTGACGTTCTTTTCTAACTGTATCCCTTTCTATTTTTGGTACTTGAATAAGTGATCTTTGACCTGGTAGTCGATCTAAATCTAAACGACTTGATATTGATCGGACTAGATTTAAATAACATTCTTCTGAAGTCTGTAAACAAAATAATAGAAAAAAAAACATTATGTAATCTGTCATTTATTGGTCTCATTACTTACTTACGCCTGTTCCCCTCGTGGAGGAACATAAGCCGTTCACTAGCATTCTCCATTCAACCCTGTCCTGGACAATCCTTTCCAGTTATTTCCATTTAACATTCATCCTTTTCATGTCTGCTTCTATTTCCCGATGTAATATGTATTTTGGCCTTCTTCTTTTCATCTTCCCTACCGGCTTCCAAGTTGAGGATTGCCTCGTGATGAAGTTTGATGATTTCCTTAATGTATGTCCTATCCACTTTCAACGTCTTTTCCTAATTTCCTCTTTAACTGGAAGCTGGTTTGTCCTCTCCCATGGTAGGCTGTTGCTGATAGTATCGAACCAGTGAATGTTGAGTATTTTGCATAGACAACTGTTTATAAATACTTGTACCTTCTTGATTATTGGTCTCATATATTATATGAAATAAGATAATTAGTTGCTTAGCTGCGTACATTTTAGATGATTCAACCATGATACTCTATTGTTTACACATTTAGTCTTTAATGATTAAAGACAATTAACTACTTATCAGTAAAGAAAATGTATGATTTCAGTTTATTTTTACAAAAGTATTCGCTGACCGATTATTATTTACTTAGCTCTACTATATTTGAACCAATAATACTGATGCTTAGAATTTGTTATGGGTTGGAGAATGCTGGTCGGCCGCCTAAGTGTTTTATAGGCTCCACTTACAGTTAATATCTTTTCGTCAATGCTTTTAATAGTGTTTTTCATATTATGAATTTAGGAATATCTTGGCTAACTGTTTCTGCCATCTAGATATTTCAACAAGTTATCTTTTTCCTTGTTTATTTTAACAAATCATTATGTTAATTAATTGCATAACCTATTCATCTGCGTATGTCAAGCGTTCACTACGTTTATCGGTTACTTACTTACTTACTTACTTTCGCCTGTTACTCCCAATGGAGCATAGGCCGCCGACCAGCTTTCTCCAACCCACTCTTTCTTTGGTATCTTGATGAGAAGTCCTTCTTTCCAGTCTGTTGGTACATGTTCTTCGTCCCAAATCTTACCGAAGAGGATGTGGAGTATCTTGGCAGTTGCTGTTACATTTGCTTTCAGTGCCTCTGCCGTTTTTGTGTTACGTTTATCGGTACAAGTTACAAAATACTAAAATCAGAGACATTGTGATGGTTGGCAAAATATGCATCTAAATGAATGGACATTATTTAAATATTGATTTTTGAAATGATACCACCTAACTGACGATCACTCAGTATCTGAGTTCGAATCTCACGAGTGCAGGATCGTGGATGCGCACTGCTGAGGAGTCCCATAATAAGACGAAACGGCAGTCCAGTGCTTCTAGGTTTTTCATGATGGTCTAACTTCAATTGACTCATGAATTCAACTATGAAAATACTAAAATTTACACGAAAACCCCTTCTGATCAATTATGAAATAATCCTTGACGGAGTATTCTAAGATGATTGAATATGTTTTTACCATAAACGTTCGTAAACAGTTACCATTATATAAATATGCCATTTATTGTTCAGCAGACATTCTAACTTATATAATGACTAGAAATGATTAAAAATTGTTATTCTTTTGGTTAGGCAATCAACAAAATCTAGACGATACTGATCAGCTACTTCGTCATTGTATGGATCTAGTTCTCAGTGCTCATGCATAATTAATCCATATATGAAACCTAAGCTATCCTTGTATCCATCACACTATCTTCACACTAGTGAATTTAGATTCGATGGTTTAAGTGTCTAGCTCTAAACAATTAACACCCTTCAAATTGAACAATCTTCATAGACCTCCGTTCATCATCATGATCTGTTACACAATAAATTATAATAACAATGAAATACTAACATATAAAGCATCCATTGCATTTCTTAAACCAATATGATCCATTTTTGATAAGATTTGATCAGTCATATGATCATCACTATCATGATCACCATCATTCTTCATATGATCTAATGCAGGTGTAGAATTATTGGTTAATGCTTTAATGGATGGTACTACTTCAGCAAGTAGTGTCTTGCTACGTAATTCAGCATTTTCACGTTTAAGTTTAGTTATTTGAAGAATTAATTCATCATTTTCTGTATTACCTACAAAATATGAATAAAAGTAATCAGTTAAATAAAAATCTCTCAATGATGGCGAGACTATAATATATGAACGAGTCAATCAGAAGACTCTGAAGGATTTCAAGGTTACAGCGTCAATTTCAGTAGCTGATGTTCATTTACAAACGGTTTATAGAGGATTTTAGAGAAGAGGTGACAATTAAGAGGCTACAATAAATGGGACTACTAAGAAGTTCCTTCATTTGCAATTGCGGTAATCAAATGGCTTGTAGACCTTCTGCAGACTACCGTGATCTTGTCTTTCGATGTAACATATGTTGGAGCGAGACGTTTGATAGAATAGGAACCCTTTTCTCTCTATCCAGATCGAGTCTCAAGCATATTATAATAATAGCCCTGGACAGTATGGTAAACATACCAGTAACATTGGCTGCAATATTCGCGGATGTTACTGATGCTTCGGTTGTTCAGTGGTATGAGTATTGTAGGGACATATCCATAATAAAAATGATAAACTTACACAACCGGCGTACACACAAACAATATTGAAGCTATGTGGTCCAGGCTGAGAGAGTCTTTGTGATCTTATCATGGCTCCAGAGATCGACTATTATGGAGCCATATGGATGAGTCCCTCTACTTTATGCATTACAATTTTAAAACCTTTGAACCTCTTTCGAACCTTGACAAGTTTCTGGACCATGTAAAAGTAGTGTACCCACTATTATCCTTTGGTTTTGTATATTTTTTACTTTATGCTGTCTTCTGATTGGTTAATATTTTTTAAGGTCACTTAGGATTCATTTAAAGGTCATCCATAAATTATAATCTCGCCGAAGGTGTTGGTTTATCAGATATAAAACATTCATTCGATTAACATCTTAATCATTGGCCGAAAGAAACTTAGATACATTAGAACCTATGTACAAAAATAAAAGTGCAAAAAGTCTGTATTGAATCGAACAGGTACAAGTCGGACAGATTAACGTCCGAACATCGATTTACGGCTTATTTAAGGCCTATGTCCGAGGAACAATGAACCATTGTCTATAACTGTGCTCATCTAGTGCTTCATACATCCAATCAAAGCACTTTATGCTATTTCGATTTGAACGAATCAGATTACAAAGCTGCACCATTTACAGTCAATTAAAAATGTATGACAGGTGACAAAATGTTTGTTTAGTTTCAGTTATTGCACACACTTTCAAAAACAAGTTCACCAATCACTAATTCGTAAACATTCTTTATTACACCCTTAAATTTATATTCAATTGGTGGTAGGGGATCATATGTGCCGTGAAATCTAATGTCAACCGGTCTTAAGGGCTTACGCTGACTAAACTTAAAGTCTTGAATTTGTTATACAAATAATTACTTTTTCATAGTTGAAATCATGAGCTAATTGAAGATAGACCATCAAGGAAAACCTGGAAGCACTGGATGGCCGTTTCGTTCTATTGTGGGACTCCTCAGCAGTGCGCGTCCACGATCTCGCACACACGAGATTCGAACCTAGAACCTACCAGCTTCTCGCCGGAGCACGTAACCGATAGACCACTGAGCCGGCATCCAACGGTGTTAATGTCTAACTTCAACTGATCCACGATTACTTAATTTATTATAAAGATTTCAATAATGATTTTCTACAACTTTGTTCGCTTATTTCATGTATATATATATATATATATATATGAAGTATGAGACTCCTCAGTAGTGTCAATCGACTATCCCGCACGCTGGGCTCGAACCCAGAACCTTCGATCGCACGCCTGTGAACACTTGACTTCTAGACCACTGATTCAGCACTGTGTCAGGTATGCGATGATTGCCCACTCAGCCAATGATACTTCCAGATTTTCATTGATAGTCTAGCTTAGATCAACTAATGAATTCATTTATTAAAATTATTACAATCTTTACAAAATTCTCTTTCTAATAGATCAGAAGGGGGTTTCTTGGAGATTTTAGTAATTTTATATAGTTCAGATCAAGAGTCAATTGAAGCTAGACCACCATGGAAAACCCGGAAACAATGGACGGTCGTTTCGTCCCATTATGGGACTCCTCAGTAGTAACAATAATAATATTTCTAACTTACCTTTCGGTAATATATACATATACTGATCACGTAAACGTTGTCTTAATTGACTTAATGCTTCTTTTTGTTTATCAATAATTTCATAATGTCTTTCACCTTTACATTGATTGCCTAAATGAATCAGTTCCTCGGTAAGTTTAGATGATGTATTGAATTGGTCATGATGGCGTTGAGAGGATTCTTCTCTTTCATAATTTAATGTATCTTGCAGATGTTTGATTTTACATTCATATTCATGTTTAGAATTAGTTAATTCTTGAATTGTAATTCGTAATTTTCTAAATAAATAAAAGTCAAAATCATATGAAACATTACACAATTGAATCATGTTTAAATATGATAACTATGATATTTTATATAGTTGTGATCATGAGTCAATTGAAGCTAGATTACTATGGAAAACATGGAAATACTGGACGGCCAATTCGTCCTATTGTGGAACTTTTCAGTAGTGCGCATCCTTGATCTCGCCTTGTCAGATTCCAATCCAGGACATGTCAGTCTCGCGAGCGAGCGCTTAACCACTAGACCATTGAGCCGGTATCCAACGGTGTTAATGTTTAACTTCAACCAATCCACAAAATTGAGCAACCATTCACCAATGTCTTAAGTGAGTTGATATCTTCCAATAGATCTATTTGAACTCCATTGGTTACTGTTTCTCACTAGAACTCCAGGAAATACCTGATGAAGCCAGTCACTAGTGAGCTTCTATTTTTTTCCATAGTAATCACCCTTCTTTTGTCCTTTTCTATTCAACTCTTAATTTACAATATTTATCTTACAAAGTTGTATAACTGATCTTCATAGTTATTAGTCATTACCAGGTAACTAAAATATTTTTGATAGATATTCATAACCACATCTTTACCTTTGTCTATTTTATTCATCAAAAGTGTTCATTCGACTGAATCCCGTTTTCAAAGTCTAACTTCAGTTGAAAAAAGAACAACAGAAATCAGGTGGTGCATCGGATAGTCATATCGGTCTAATAATGGCTATCTTCATCTATAACTCATCGTGTAGTCAAAAACAACTATATTATCTTTAGATCACTAAACTGGTATTCAATGGTGTACATTTGCGATTTTGATAAGATAGGAATATAAAGAAACTGTCATTCATCATAATTGATTATACGTGTTTCAAACTAAGTACGGTTGATAAGCAAAGATGGATAGTGGCTAGTAGTGGAATCCAAGACGCGCGTTTCGTCCTATTTGGGACTCGTCAGCTGGATGTACCTGTATCTCAGAGTTGATGTTCACTCTGGGACTGGAACCCAGTATCTATCACTTCAAACACCATCGCGTTATCCACTTGGCCACTGAGTCTTGATAGCCGCTTATGCCAATAAGAGATTGACCAGTTGCAGTCCTAAAACATCAATGGAAAGATTTAAACAAACAATACTAAGTGAATTTAAATACGGTTGAGCACCATACGAGGATTCTAACCAAAAACTTATGTTATGCATATAGAATGATTAGATTTGTTTGAAGATACAGTAACATTATAGAGAACAATGTAAATACTGATAATTAAAACAAAACAACAACTGAAAACATGAGGTATCTCGTCACTTAAATAGTCTTTAAATCAAAATTAAAGATGTGAATTCCTTTAAACAAATAAATAAGAATATAATTGACGTATTTAATACAAGTTGAAAAACATCAAAGGTATTTCAAATCAAAATAAGAGCTATTGTAGTGAACAGAACACTGGTTGGGGACAATCGAATGTATTAAAGCAAAGATTACAGACTATCTCAGTAAATTCTGAAAACCATACAATGTACAGTCAATTTGCAAATTAACAACCAATAGTCTCGATCTTCACTGTTTCTTCTCTAATTCGATTGCTCATGCATTTTCCAGACGATTGCGCTTCATTTCAGTTCTTCCCTCACCGGTCTTCTGCCAAAATACATTCTATGTCTGACCCACACCATATACTACTTATATAGATATAAGTAGACAACACCACACTATTACTTAACATATGATGAATGACTGAATTGGTGCCATTTATGAATTGAGATATCTTATTCAGGCAATACTGTTTATATCTTCTTTGATTTCATCAATGGAGGTATTTAATTCTTACAAATGATATCATTTATCTTATAAACGAGTTTAACCTCAGTTTAGTCTATAATTATCTGTTGATCTTACCAGAATTTACATTTAATTTGTAATGTATCATCATCAATGAACATTTTTTCTAATCTATTTATCAAAGTAGTTTTATTAGTTGAGATCATGAGTCAATTGAAGATAGACCACTATGAAAAATTTGGAAGAACTGGACGACCGTTTCGTCCTATTGTGGGACTCCTCAGCTTCAATCTATGAGGTTAACTGGATTATCATTGAAATACTTAATGATTACATTGAATAATAATATGAACATGAATCAAGTCATAGATGTACAATGTTGAAAAACAATTGATGGAATTTCATTCTCTGTAAGCTGACAGGTTCAATTGTGAAGCCTTCATTATACGTTTAGTCAACAATCTTAGCACAAACTTCAAAAGTATATCTGTAGTACTTTACTTAATTACGCCTATTACTCCTCATGAAAAAGCATACGCTGCCTACTAGCATTCTCCATACAATTCTGTCCTAAGCGAACTTTGCTGTTGTTTTCAGTTGACATTCATCCTTTTCATATATGCAACTATTTTTTGACGTAGTGTGTTCTTCAGCCTTCCTATTTTTCGTTTCCTTTTCGGATTCCAAGTAGGGTCTTGCCTCATGATTCAGTTCAGTGATTTCCACAATATGTGTCCTATCCACTTCCAACATCTTTTCCTTATTTCCTTTTAAGATGGGAATTGGTTAGCTCTCTCCCACAGTAGGCTTTTGCTGATGGTATCCGTCCAACGGATACTGAGTATATTGTGTAGACAATTGTTTATAAATTTGGTTGGTGTACTCCGTATTGTATTTGAAGATCTTAATTTTTCCCTTATTGAGACCTACTTATGCAGCGGCTTCCGCTACACTATTATTATTATTAATGGCTTTATTCAATATTATAATCTGATACAATATAGAATTCTCAGCACGAGTTATTTCAACAAGTTTTTTACCAGAAAAAACAGAAAATATTTAAGAAAATCTGAGCTTATACAAATTATCGAATATGAGACATGCTTAAGAAGACAAGTTATTTACTAGATCAACTATAACAGCCTGTTTGTCACAAAGTAAATTTGCTAAGTAAGGTATTACAGAACTTTTATAGATTTGCTTGCCTGCATGGATTTTTAGTGTATTTACGTCTCATTCTACCAGAAGATATACAAGGAGAAAGATATGAATAAAGGGGATGGTTAGTATCTGATAAGATAACACCTGCCAAGAGTTTGCAAGAATTAAGATGTCTATCCACAAGCATATTAACAATGACTTCAAAAGATTCACCACATGCCTTGCAAACCGCCTTCAACACTCTACGCAAAACAGCAAAGTCTTTTCTCAAAAGCCCAGGAAAGAATAATGGAGAACAATATAAAATAATAGGTAATATGCAGGAATTTACAAAGTGTAAGAGTAAATGGCGAATAATCCCAAAAGCATGCAGCCTCTTTATGTAGTATGTCAAACGGTAAACTTTTTTCGATAACAGTAAAACATGAGAAGACCAAGAAAGATCAGAGGAAAAAATGACACCAAGATATTTGACCTTCGACACTGTGTTTATTAAGGAGTCTCCAATGGCACAAGCATTATGGGATCCCAACATAGAGTATAGGTTCTGTCCATGTCTCAAGCTAAAGTTAACAGCTTGACATTTAGATGGATTGAGTAAGAGACCATTACCAACAGACCACCTTTCAATACGAGATAAAAACTCATTGATTTCTATGGGATGTAAGGAGGTAGAAATTGGCATACATACGGTGAGGTCTTCCGCATATTTTACAGAAGTGTTTTCTGTGGAAGATGGCAGATCATGCAAAAAGAAAGAGAAGAGCAGAGGTGAAAGAACAGCTCCTTGTGGCGCACCAACAGTAGACAGTAGAGATGTTAAACACTTTCCTTCAAAGACAGTGTACTGTTCTCTTCCAGAAAGGTAGGAACATAGCCAATTTTGAGATGGTGGAGAAAAAAAAAACATAGCCAATTGGTTATCCAGCTGTCAGTATCGACGCTGATCAGCTTGGTAAGTAAGAGGTGTCTTGGAATAGAATCAAAAGCAGAAGTAAAGTCCAGGAAAGCGCATCTAACATACTTCTTACCCTTTTCCAACCCGAACACTATATTGTGATGCAGAACAGCAACGGCATCTAATGTGCTTCTTTTGCATTTGTAAGCAAACTGATATGGATCACAGTGCTCTTTTATTACAGGTTGAAGTGATTGTATCAGTAATTTTTCCATTATTTTGAGGAAAGGTGAGGTTATTGCTATGGGTCTAAGTTTCGCATTTTTATCACCAGAAGCCTTCTTAGGTATAGGGATTACCTTTATCTTTCTCCACATTTTCCGTAAGACATTAGTTGAGAAGGATCTGTTGAAGATATTAATTAATGGATAACATAAAACATCGGCACATTTTTAAAAAGGAGGTTTGGGATACCATCAGGTCCTAAACATTGGGATGAATTCAGAGACTGGAGACATTTCCAGACATCATTTTCAGTGAAACTGGGGACACAATTATTCTTCAAACCCTTGGATATAGGGAGCATGATGTCAGATGACTGTTGAATAAAGGACTTATTTAAGTCACAAACATTTAGCTGGTTATCGCTTCTAGTCTGCCTGTCCCCTGTAATTTCTTTAAAGAATTTCCACATACTTGGAGAGCTTCTGCAAGATAGGAGTTTTTGAGTGAACACACAGTTGAGACGTCTAATCTCTTGGTTTATTTGATCATTTAACTTACGAACTTCAATAGTGTTTTTCTCCTTGTACATCCTTTCTTTTACCCTCCGTAGTCGTTTTAGTTGTGGAGATGTAAGTCGATCAAAACTTAAAAAGAAGGTTTCGGTAGGACAGCAAATATCAAAACAGAATTTAAGATAACAAGTGATCACATCAGTGATGTTTTCTAGTGAGTCATCTGTAAATAATTCCCAGTTGGTCGTACGAAACATGTTTTTTAGATTTTGTAAATTTTCTTCTGAGTAATTCCTATATATTACTTTTTTGGTATGGTGTATGTGTGTACTCTTTCCATGTTTACCATATACTTTAGGTAAGACACGAATTATACAGTGATCCGAACTAGACAATGGAGCACGTTTGCGCGTCACATAGGCACCCACATCATTAATGAAAACCAAGTCTAGATGAGCATTCAAACGAGTAGGAAAATCCACTACATTTAGGTGACCTAGTGATGTAAGGAAGCTACAGTCACATGAATTGAAATCACCACATACAATTGAAAGTGAATCACTGAAGGCAGTAACGGCGAATTCAGTAAATTTATCAGTGAAGACAGATAGCGCAGATGATGTGCAGTCTGGAGTCATGTAGATATTGGTAACATAAATATATTTGTATTTATTCAGGTGTTTTGGACGGCACCTTAAAGTTAGACAGTCAATAAAGTCGTTTGAAAACTTGAAACAGGCAAAAGTAGATCAACACCAGTTAACGTTTACAAAAGTAGCTACTCCGCCACCACAAGTCTTTTTATTGTTTGATCGATCCTGACGATAGATATTAAAATCACGTAATTACACTAAGCAATCATCCTGTAAGTCAGTTAACCAAGATTCTTGAATTGTGATGACACCAAAATTACGATACATGTTTTGACTTAGCAGAAATTGGAGATAGCCCACCTTGTTAATTAGTGATCGACAGTTAGAGTTAAGTAGCTCGAGAATCGACATTTGATTGATGTTTATTCTCTTTAAAGCATATTGCCAACCACCACGATGTCTCTTATTGTGCTTGTTTGTAATTTTTGCGGCGAAAGGACGTAAGCATTTTATAAACGTGCCTGTGTAGGTTATGCGATTAATAGACATAATGATAGGTTAAAACAAATTTTAAAAAAAACCCAGATAACTTGTTGAAATATTTAGATGGCAGAAACAGGTACCCCAGGTATTCAAGCAGGCCGCCACTAAATGTCTTCATATACATTTGTTCGTGTGTATGGGATACAAGGACAAAGTCAATCTCAAAGTTCAAATCTTCCAACTAATTCCTATCTGTCCATCGTATTCCCTAGTTCCCCTCCGTTGCCAAGGTTTTCATAATCCGGTCAATCACCAGAAGAAAGAGGGAGGAACAGAGTAAGCAGCCTTTTTTGACCTCAGTCCGTACTTGGAATACATCTGTAGCTCTTCTAAGGCTACTGCCAATCCTTAGCTCAGGTAAGAAAGGAAGGTTCGATATGGGGTTATCACTCAAAATCCTCTTTGTAAACTATCAATCTTCTCCACCAAATAGAAAGCAAAGCATTAAAACAAAGCAGTTATTAGGGGTCCCGTAGATAGTACATAAATAAATAGATGAATAAAGTGAGGTAATGATTTTGGTTCATCAACCTACTTAATTTGTTCTTCTTTTCCCTGTAACCTTTCATTCATTTGTTCTAATGAATCTTTCAAACTACTCAATTGTATTTTAGTAGTATATAATTCTTCATTCGTTTTTTTACCATAATTTAATGCATTTTCAATTTCTTCTTTTTGTGTTTCAGTTAATTCACCTTTTAAATCACTTAATTGTGCTTGTGTACCTTCTAAATCAGAACGTAATACTTCAATAGTAGATGTTTGATCTTTAATAATGTTTTGTAATTGAGATATTTCAAGTCTAATAAGATAGAAAGAAAAATGGATGGTAACTAATTGCTTGATACCGAAAAAATAGCAAAAAAAAGTAACCGGTAACATTATAGTAGACAAAAAACTAGCTGGGGACATTCAAATGTATTTAGGCATAAATTATAGGCTATCTCACTAAATTCTGATAATTATACGATATACACTGCTGAGGAGTCCCATAATAGAACGAAACAGCCGTCCAATGCTTCCAGGTTTTCCATGGTAATCTAATTTCAATTGACTCATGATTTCAACTAGGAAAACAGTTAATTTGCAAAATAATCAACAATTGTCTCAATCTTCACTGTTCCTCCTGTAAATATCAATCCATCTTCTCTAATTTCATTGTTCATGCATTTTCTTACCAATAACGCTTAATTTTAGTTCTTTCCTTATCGGTCTTCTGCCAAAATACATTCTATGTTTGACCATCACCATATACTACTTATATGGATATAAGTAGACCACACAATAACATAATAAACAGCTTTTGCTAGCAGAGAAATTATTCAGAAACTTACAAGCCATTTATTTATAATTGAGCATTAACCAGTGTCTTTTGTTTATCTAGTCCTTTAATATTGATTTCGATGTGACCTAATGGTCAAAGTGACTCGATATTATATGTACTATTTCAAGATGTTAAGTCATTATGGATAATAGGCAGAAGACTATATACCTAGGTTTCTTGCTATTTGGAAATCCTAGCCAAAGAGTATACGCAGTCCCGAAAGAACAAATATGAGATCTGTAAGTTTATTGGCTTGAAAGCGGTTCACAATAGTCGACTTCATACATTTTACTTAAATCTCGAATTCATTGACATCTCACTGATTAGTAGCCTATATCAAGATGGCTACCAATTACTTACTCCCAATGGAGCATTGGCGACCGACCAGCATTCTACAACCCACTTTGTTCTGAGCCTTCCTTACTAGTTCTATCCAATTTTTGTTCATTCTTCACATGTCTGTCTCCATTTCTCGGTGTACGGTGTTCTTTGTTTTCCTCTTCTTCTTTGGCCTTCAGGAATCCATTTGAGGGCTTGTCTTGTGACGCAGTTGACTGCTTTCCTCAATATGTGTCCTATCCACTTCCAACGCCTCTTCCCAATTTTTCCTCCACTGGAATCTGTTTTTTACTCTCCCACAGTAGCATATTGCTGATAATATCTGGCCAACGGATCCGAAGTATCTTGCCTAGACAACTGTTAATAAACACCTATATCTTCTGGATGATGGTTTTCGTAGTTCTCCACATCTCCGCCCCATACAGTAGAACTATCTTGACATTTGTATTGAAAATTCTGATCTTTATGTTGGTTGACAATTGTTTTGAGTTCCAAATGTTCATTAGTTGTAAATATGCTGCTCTTACTTTGCCGATTCACGTCTTTACATCTGCATCAGGTCCACCGTGTTCATAGACGATGCTTCCCAGATATGGCTACTACTTGGTACTAATTAAATCCTATCTATCAAATTAAAATACAGTCCATAGACTGAATGATTCGTCATTAAGTACGCAATTGTTTTCGGCATATTCACGGCTGCCAATTAGCAGAAATCTTAAGATCATGACTACCAAATTAAATCTAGATATTTCTAATGTTACATTATAAATGCGCGAGTAACAGTAGTAACTATGTTCATTTTTTCTGTTCAATTTAGTGTTATATATGTTCTTGATTCTAGATCACACTATATATATGAAGGCAAGTGGCTGTTGAAACTAGATCAGGTAGCGCTAGATTCTAACTTTCGAGGTAAGAAATTAACAATATATAGAAGTAAAAAGGGAGATTGATATCAGTTACAACGAATATCTAAACATAGTTCTAAGACAACTGATAGGATTGAAGAATGAAATATCAAGGATTACATTTGGCTAAAAATGTACATTAAGTTAGAAATTGATCGTAACTTTGTCAATGTGAGCAATTAGTCACCTCACAGTACAAAATCTCCTTACGTCTAATACCAATTTTATGAGTGAATCAGACAGAAATTATTTACATACCAACTTGACTAAGACTAGAGGTTCATAGATTTATGAAGTGAAGCCAAGTTTTAACCTGTCCATCATTATTACTTTTCTAAACATATTCTAGTGTTTTAGCAAATTAGTTTTCTACGGGATGGGTACGCTAACCCCATGCCCAATTCTACCCTTTTATTCAAGCTTGGGACTGGCAGTTGACTCAGAGGGGCTCCAGGTGGAGCAATATTTCACATAAACAATCCATACAATGGTCCCTTAAAAAATAAAAAGGCCAACTTACTTTAAATTATCAACCAATTTAGGACTTGTATTATCATCAATAGATGAATATGCAGAAGAATGTTTATTTGTATCATCATTATGACGTGCTGATGTTTTTGTTCGTAAAGATTGAAGACGATTATTAGCTTCAGTTAAACGAGTTTGTAATTGTTTATTTTCATTTTGTAAATCTACAATTATAAATGAAATTCTAAATAAGTAGTATATATATGGAGACAGACATGAGAAGAATGAACAACAATTGGATAGAACTAAAAAGGAAGATCCAGGAAAGAGTGGGTTAGAGAATGCTGGTCGGTGGCCTATGCTCCATTGGGAGTAACAGGCATAAGTAAGTAAGTAAGTAAGTGAGTAAGTAAGTAAGTAAGTAGGTAAATAAGTAAGTAGGTAAGTAAGTAAGTAGGAAGGTAAGTAAATAAGTAAGTAAGTTAGTTAGTAAGTAAGTAAGTAATATATAAATGAATCTTATTATACTACTTATATTAGCGTGATTTTTTAAGTATAATTCAATGATGTTTATCTTATTTTTGATTGAAAATGGATCATTGCCCTATAAATAGTGATCCATATCAGCTGGTATTTAGGTTTGATTCACTTATTCATTAATGTATGATAACAGTGATGTGACTAAAAGATGTGAACGGTTGGCTTTTGCCAACTTACGTCACCTATGGAGAAGACGAGATTTCCGTCTATCAATTAAGGGGCGAGTAAACTGCGCAGCAGTTCGCTCTGTTCTACTTTACGGTTGTAAAACATGGCCTTTAAGAGTAGAAGGTAGTCGTAATTTACTAGTACTTCACCACAGATGCCTTAGAAATATTGTTCGCATCTGCTAGGATCACCAGGTAAGTAATAGTGAGGTTAGACACGTGGTATTAGGAAATGATGGTATATCACTTGATCAGGTTGTAAATCTTCATCAACTGAGTTGTTTGGACCACGTGTTACGTATGCCTGAACATCGATTACCACGATTTGCAACGCTGACTAGTATTAGGGATGGTTAGATGAAAGTTAGGGGTGGTCAAACGAGAACGTGTCATCAGTGCTTGAAGTCACTAACTTCTAGTCTTAGACATGTTGGTAGATGCAGACTACTTGGTTGGGTTCCACGTGATTATCGTAACCAATTGTTGGAGACTCAGGCTGACATGGCTCAGAATCGATCACAATGTCGTAGGTGTATACACTATTTATCTTCCCTTAAACTTTAAGATTAAAATTGCTCCATAACGTTTTTCCTTCCTATACTATACCCTTATATACAACTTTTCTTTATATACTACCACCACTAAATTAACTACTTTAATGAATTTCGGTGCTCATCTTGTTGTGCTAACGAGGTATGGCAACTTGGACCGATGCATATATGTGCCTGGTCCTACGTTGTAGCTGACTGACTGACTGTATATAAACAGGATAACACCTGTGAAGTCTCAAATACTAGTATATTATTTTCAATTGGACTTCATTGAATATGATTTCATGTTTGTTTTTATAGTGAATATATATTTGACAGAAAGCTGTTCACAATAAGGAGACTGTGACCTGATACTCTCATCCATACTAAAATAACACTTAAGTTTATATCATGGACTGATGTTGGTTAGACAACCATAGGAAACCACGAAGCACTGGAAAATTTTGTTGTCCTAATATGGAACATTTCAGCAATGTGCTTCCACGACTCCAACAAGCCAAAAAAAAATACCAGCCAGTGATATACATTATGAAATTCAACAATTTCCATCAACCTCTGTCATGGTAAAATTCAAATGATCTATATTTCATGGAGAGCAAATTATCATTCATCGTGAAAAGAACTTATTACTGTCTTCACAACAACTATGATACAAAAGTCCCTAGTTATATAATATACCTTTATGGTTAGGGTAATTTTGCACTGGTTTTCAGGAGAATCATATACCATCCAGACTTTCACGCGGCAACACAAGCAGTACAGCTTAATCATATAAGAGAACCAGACACTATATAGGCTTTAACGCTACAATCCGATCAGTACAACTCAATCCTGTGGCGCGACCACACACGTACAACAGTCCCTAATTTGAATTCATTTGATATTGTTTACTTGAATCTACCCGTTGATGATTACGACTGCAACTGATCAGTCTCTTATTGAAATATGTGCACAATATGCGTGTTGCTTCGATATTGCTTTAATTCACAAGCATTATAAACAAAGTTGAAAAGTGGTCAGCAATATAATCAAGGATGCGCGTTTCGTCCTATTTGCGACTCGTCAGCCCCCATTTCGCATACATTTTTATTTACAATTTTATTCAATAGATTAGACCATGAAGAAGTTGTCGAAAGCAATTTCGTACCCTAAAATTCTTTGTAAGCAAAGATAGATAGTGGCTAGTAGTGGAATCCAGTTTGACGCGCTTCACTTCGTCCTATTTGAGACTTGTCAGCTGGATGTACCTGAATCTCAGAGTTGATATTCACTCTGGGACTCGAACCCATTCTTTATTTATTTAAATAACATAATTTAAAATAACTACCTGTATTGTTTCGTTTCAATTTGATTACTTCACCCTTACTATCCTTTAATTGTTTTGTTAGCTTAATTAAACGTTCTTCCATAACACATATTGTTCTAGAATGTTGTCGTACTTGTTCTTTATAACTATCCAATTCAGATTTCCAATGAGTTTCACATTGTCTTTCAATTTCTTCATGTAACTTTGAATTAGATTGATTTTGTTGATCTAATTGTGATTTCATTTCTTCTAGTTGATTATCTTTTAACTGAATTTCTTGTTTTAATCTTGGTAGAAGTTCATTTGCTTCTTTAGCCTCATTTAATTCTGATTCATGAATGATTTGCTTTTCAGCTAAAATCTTAAATTTTAAATAACATAAGTATTGGATAAGTTAACTCCTTCATGGATATGTCAAGAAACGATAGACGACTAGGTAAAGAAGCTGTTACCTGAACACAGATGCTACCTTCGTGAACATTCATTGCTAGATAATACAAGAGCAGGTTATATGAAGTCTGAGAACGGCTATATCAACACATGGCATCAATTCATGAAGTCAGTGGCTATTTCTTTGGACCATATTAGTATATGCAGAAGAAAATTGTGATGAAGGAATGGTGATCCAAAGTGAGATGATTAAAGATCAAACGTAGAGGAAAAAATGTATTTCAGCGCTAACTCCCTCTAAATTATAAGTTTCAAAGGAGTTCTGTATATCACAAGGAGTTTTTTGTGGAGATTTTAGTAATTTTATATAGTTAAGATCATAAGTCAATTAAAGCAAGACCACCGTGAAAAACCTGTAAGCACTGGACAGCCGTTTCGTCATATTATGGGACTCCTCAGCAGTGCACATCTACGATCCTGCCTCGCGAGATTCGAACACAGGACCTACCAGTTTCACGCCAGAGCAATTAACCGATAGACCACTGAGTCGGCCGGCATCCAGCGGTGTTAATGTCTAACCTCAACCAATACACGAAATTGCGCGACCAACTTCCATTGTACTGAGGTAGATACCTGTCTCTACCTCACATGGATTAGTTCCACGATTGTACTCCTTTTTTTCAGAAATATGTTTAGTATTTCTTGTTATCCCTGGTATTACCATTATTTTTCACTATTCTGAAGTTTATTTTGATTATTTAATATCTCTTTGATGATTCGGTGTGTCAACTGGGGCCGATGCACGTCTCTGCCAGGTAACAACATTGAGGATGACTGGTTTCTCGAATGATGATGATGAGGAGGAGGAACAATGTTAGAATTCGGAATATAATTCCGAGAATTTTTTTCTTCAGGTGTAATAGAGTACTATCATTTCTGGAAGTCAATAGATTTTTCGCTTAAATCAATAAGTACCTGACATTATTCAGTCTTGAATAGAAAAGTTGAACGGATAATCCTAAATTTAAATTTACTTCTTGGAAGTGCGTAATTTCTGGTATTCTGATGAAAGGACACCATGGCGTGATAATTTTACAGGGTTACTAACGTAATATTTCTAAATTTTCTATAACTGTCAACAAATTAGTGTTAAGTCTCATTGATATAATTTTATACTCCATTGCTGCATTGAGAAGTTAGCTCTATAACTTCTTACTACTTAAATGCTTTTTCAGTAGTTGATAAATATCAAGTAAAGTGTACGTGAGACACGTACTCTTCTGTTCACTGTATGATTTACGTCATATCTAAGCTTGATTGTTTTCCCCTATGATTAAATGTGCGAGTAAGATATCATACATTAGGGTCTTAATATATATTATCGTCTTGACATTGGTGTTTTACTGAAAGATTGATTACAGTTTTAAAAATAATGAGCGAATAAATGTGCAGATTTTCGACTAAGCTATACATCTACATGAAAATTCACTTGGTACTGTTTTCTCTGAATCTTCTCATTGATGTTTTTATAACTGCAACTGGTCAGTCTCTTATTGGCATATGTGCGTAACGTACGTATTGCCTCGATATAACTTAAATTCACAAGCATTATAAGCAATAATGGATAGTGGCTAGCAGTGGAATCCAGGACGCGCGTTTCTTCCCAGTTTGAACTCATCAGCTTCACGCCATCGTACGAGCAAATGGCTATCAGGACTCCGTAGTTGAGTGGATAACGTGATGGCGTTTGAAGCGAAAGGTACTGGGTTCGAGTCTCAGAGTGAACATCAACTCTGAAATGCAGGTACATCCAGCTGATCAGTCGCAAATAAGACGAAGTGGTGCGCGCCCTGGATTCCTCTGCTAGCCACTATCCATCTTTATTCACATCAAAAGTTTCACTATAATACATTGATTTACCTGACGAGTTTCACGTAGTTTATTTTCAAGTTCTTCAATAATCGTCGCTTTAACAGACAATAATTGTTCTTGTCTCATACTTTCCACACGTGCAACTTCTTCAACAGCTTTTTGGATTTTATCTGCATCTATAAAACAAAATATGAAATATTATTGTAGTCTCTCATCAACTTAGAGAATAAAGATTTATGATAATTAATCTAATAAGCCACAAGGTCCTTCAATTATTCAAACTGACATCATAAGAATCTCTAGTATGCGCTTGTCTCTCTTGTGCCAAATTACTTACATACTTACGCCTGTCACGCCTCATGAAAAAGTATAGGCTTCCCATCAGCATTCTCTATACAACTCTGTCCTGAGCGATCCTTTTCAAGTTATTTGCAGTTTCTATACATATATATGTGTTCTCCCAAATTATAATCTTCAGGATTCTTCATGGTTTCTTTTTTCTCTTTCCAAATTAATTTCACTAGATTGTACTCGCTGAAAAACATCTTCAAACCCTAATCTTTCGGGTTACTGCTTATACTCTTACTACCTCTATCACTTTGAGATTTGAATGGACAACTGCATCTCTGTGGTATGGCAACTTGAACTGATGTACATACGTACGAAGTTCTACGTTGTGACTGACTAATTGACTGACATCTAAAAACAGTCAAGGTTGATTAGCGATTTGATTAACAAAGACAAAAATGGATAAATTGACCTGTTGAGAAGCTACAATTAGTTATATGAACACAACAATAGGACGAGTCAGTATAGACTAAAAAATCTATTTTCCCCATAACAACAATCGATATATCTATATACATAACTTACTTTCATCATTTAATTTAGCTATTTTATCATCCATAATCATTTTCCATTCATTTTGTATTAGGGATTTAGTTTTAATTATTTCTTCATGATGTTCTATTTCATTCAATTTTATTTGTTTTAATAAATCCATTTTCTGTTGTATCATTGTTGATGTTAATTCAGCCAAATGTCTTATTGTACTGATCAAATCATCTGGACGATTAAATATATGTATAATATCTATTTGATGTAATGTAAAACAAAAGAAAAAAGAGGTAAAGGAGAATGATGTTTCTATGCAAACTTTTGGGTTAATGTTAGAATTCAATCATTGGAAATAGTTGACTTCTATGAGGATGATCCTCGGGGAGGGGGAGGGAAACTCAAGAAAGCTCTAAAAAACTTTGAAAAAGCCGAAAGCATTCCACTCAATCACCTTTTAGGAGAACATTCCAGAATCTTGACGTGTAGTCTATCTATCGGATAAATGCTTAAAAAACCCCTGTATGCGGACTCCATGATTGTAACGATTATTTCGTCATTAATAAAATCTATAAATACCTGGGAGTTTTGTACCGTGTTTGATACTGTTTAGAATAGTATTCCTTCTCACTCATCTTCTATCTTCTCATTTGCCACTTGGAGGGCTCTAGAGTTCATGTGCTAAAGTTGTATATAAAGATGTATTTCAAGGATCTAAGCTCTAGATATTAATTAGTTTATTCTTGCATTTACTGAATTACATTTCTCTGAATAATTCATTCAACTTGAATGATCTGATTACAGATCGGGTACAGAATATGAATTCTGTTATAAAAAAAAGTAGCTAATTATGTTTTAATTCATTAAAATTGAAAATTGTTAATTGTTTGAACGTATATTTTCTTCATAATCTCAGTTACAAATAAATTAACATCTGATATTGTAATCAAAGATGGATAGTGGCTAGCAGTGGAATACAGGACAAGCGTTTCGTCCTATTTGTGACTCGTCAGCTGGATGTACCTGTATCTCAGAGTAGATATTCCCTCTGGGACTTGAATAAACAATACTAATTGAATTTCATATCTGATAGTCATTAAATGCCTTTTCAAGTGAGACTAGAATTTATAGATGAATCAATCAGATTTAGGATAACAGGTCTTCGATAGTTGATATCAGTTCGTGATGAAAATTCTAAATCTGATTCTTAATCTTAACCATCAACAGTAAATCCTAGTCGTAATTCCTCACATAGATCTATAACTCTCATTAGTCGTTAGATGAATATTCTCGAAGTCATTTTAATGTTGATCAAAGATCATCTATAAATTATAGTCTCCCCTTTTCTAATTTACTTGAAATATAACCCAGTTAGTCATATGGTAACCAGGATAACTTAAATTTAATCAAAACTTGTAATGTATATATAAACCGGAACTGTCCTTAAAATCTAATTTTTATTCAAGTTCCTGAAGATAGTTGTCAGGTCATTAGTTTCAAATTATGCTACCGTTTAGAACTTGATTGCATAGTTCAATGTATCCCATATGTATATATGCTCATTGTTTTAATAGTTTAAAGCATTAAATTTAAGCGTAAGTATTGACATTTAACAATTAAAGTAAAATATGAAAGGAAGGACGGAAAGAAGGAGGGAAGGAAGAAAGAAAATTTCGTTTCTTATTGTATGATTGATACCTTTTTTTGACTTCATATCTATTTTATTCTACGATTTTTCCATAAGAGTTACTTTTGAATTTTTTTTTTCAGTATTCTTTTAGGTTTTATTGGTCGTTGGCGAGGTGGTGGATATTCAGTGTAAAAGATGTCAATGAAACAGTGAACCAGTGATGATCATTGATGTTAAACACTTTACTCACTTATTTACTTACGCTTGTTACCCCTTGTGGAGAAGCACAGGCCGCCCACCTGCACTCTCTATCCAACCCTGTCCTGGGCAATCCTTTCCAGTTCTTTCCAGTTAACATTCATCCTTTTCATATCTGCTTCTATTTCCAGATGTAGTAAGACAGTTTACTAGCTGACGTTAATTTGTAAACGAAGCTAATCTTAAAATTGGACTATTGAAATTCTTATGCTTCACAATACATTTCAAAGCTAGTATCTTTCTATCGGTTAAGTTTCAATGATTATTAATAACAAAAGATGATAGTTATTTGATTAATTAACTGTTCATAAGTTAGGTTTATAATCATTTTCCAAGACATTCCTTTTATTCATAGTTCTGTGGTGGTCGATATTCGATATTATCCTTAAACTTCGTAAATAGTTCGTCCTGATAACCGTTACTCGGTAACGTCCTAACGATGCATAAATCAGTAGGCGAATACGAAGGGTTGATTACGTTTATGATTGAACCATACACAGATATCCAAAATTATAAGCATGTTAAGCAAGTATGAAAGAGTAGTGCCGTAAAGCAGGCGAGCGAGAGAGAGATCAATTGACCGATTCAGCGAGTAAGCGAGCACAGTACCGTGAACAGGATTAAGATGTACATATATATATATATATATAATGGAAATGCATGAATCATCAATTAAGTGATTAATGGTAAGGCTAGCAGAATGATTATATGCGTAGGCAGTAAACAATGCTCAAGCGTACATAATAAAGGTGCAAAAGGATAGATAGGTTGTTGTTGTACGAATGACTGTCCGTTAAACAAGCTATTAAAAGTGCTTAACCAACTTTGATGCAAACAAACTCAATTGTATGTGAGCTGCTATAGTTCTTTCCACAACTACATCAATCTTCCTTCAACTATAAGTTGTAAAGCTTCTTTCTGTATATAAAATATCGCAAAGATGGGTGATAGCTAGCAGTGGAATCTAAGACGCTCATTTCCTCCTATTTGGGAATTGTCAGTTGGATGTACGTCAATGGGAAGATTCGAACAAACGATGAAAAAGATGAATTAAAACTTCACAGGATTGCACAAGCTAGCGGCTATGTGGATTCACTCGCTAAATGGATAATGCGATGGCATTTAAAAGAAGAGGTAATGAGTTCGAGTCCCAGAGTGAAAATTAACTCTCGGATGCAGACATATCCAGCCGACTAGTCCTAAATAAGATCAAACGTGAGTCCTAGATTCCACTGCTAGCTGCCATACATCTCTGCTGATAATGCTTGTAATATAAGGCAATCTCGATGCAAACCGTACCAGATGTATACATATCAATAAGAAACTGATCAGTTACAGTCATAAACGTCAATGGGAAGATTCAAACAAACAATACTAAGTGAATTTAAACTTCACTCCATTGCACAAACAAGTGGCTATCGGAACTCAGTAACTGAGTGGATAATGCAATGACGTTTGAAGCGAAAGGTACTGGTTTCGAGTCCCAGAGTGAACATCAAATCTGAGATGCAATTACATATAGCTGACGAGTCACAAATGGGACGAAATGGCACGCGTCCTGGATTCTACTGCTAGCCACCATCCAGCTTTGCTTGTGGAAGAAGTTGTTTCGCTAAATACAGTGAAAAAAATACTTGAAGGCCGGTAGATAGAATGATCATGATAATGATTTTATAAAGTAATATTGACTAAGTATATAATCCAATAAATCAATGTATCTAGGTTAGAAATGTATCTGGCTCCCCATTTACACTGATCTCATTGTGCTAATTGCTATACCTTTCGGGATAAAATCTAACACAACTTAGTGAGCTGTGTTTAATATCCATTGTTTCATTGTATGTGTGCAGTTTCTTTTGCTTTTAAATAATCAATTCATTCTATTAATTGCTGATGTTGAATGGTCTTAGACGAACGTAAGACGGAAACATGGTTAACGGATCTAACTTATTAGAAGTTTCAAGGGTTATTTAATTGATCGAAAAAGTGATAGGACAGTAACTTACCAGTATTCTGTGATTGTATTGTTCCAACAGCCTCTTGCACACAATCTTCAAGACGTTGTTGTGTATTCACTTGATCCTGTAAATCGTCTAATAGGATACGTTGAAGTCGCTTTAAAATTTCATTAGCTGGAACATAAGCAGCTAATAACTCAATATTTTGTTTTAAACGTAATGATGAACGAAATCTGGGCGTATCTTTCATGTTTTGCTAAATACAAATTGGAACAATAAAGCTTTATTATCAATTGTAACGATTGATCGCATTGATCAATGGTTCCCAGAATGTAGCCTTTTAAACAATTATTTAGATACTACTTGTATTTACAGTTATTTACAGTAGACAGTGGTTAACAGTTAAATTATTTAGTTCATGTCATGTCTCAACAGCTTGATAAAGAAAAAGACAATAATATAGGGCGTTTCGGTGATCGGAACACACCACTGCTCCTGAAAACGAACAGAAGACCTTCAGACCCATACAGAGAGAGGTTAAAGTTTGAAATAAACTACAATTTAAATTTAGTGCTTCACGATCTAAACTTCAGTCAATTCTCAATATTGAGTGATAATTATCTGTTGCTACTGGTGGTACCCATCAAATCATACCTGATGAAGAAGCTGTGAAAGAGGTGGAATGATTTACCTACCTGGGTAGCATTATCGATGAACAAGTAACATCTAATATATATCTGAACATATGAATTGGCGAAGCAAGCTCAGAATTCATACAATTGAATAATATATGGAACTCAAAACAAATATTTGCAAGGCAATAACAAATTCAGAATATTCAATACGAACGTTAAGTCAGTTCTACTGTATGAAGATGAAACTCCGAGAACTGCTAAGATCGTCACCAAAAATGTACAAGTATTTATAGAAAAGTTTCCACTCAAGATGCTCAATATCTGTTGGCCGGATAACATTAGCAACAACCTCTTGTGGGAAAGAACAGCTGGTTATTCATGAGTGAAAAACTTTTAAGAACTCATTTTTCAAAAGTTTTTATGGATATTATAGTAATTTTAATAGTTGAGATCATGAATCAATTGAAGCTAGATCCCCATGGAAAACCTGAAAGCACTAGACAGTCGTTTCGTCCTACGGTGGGACTCCTCAGCAGTGTGAATCCACGATCCCAAATCGCGAGATTTCAACCCAGGACCTTTTACTCTCGTGCGCAAACGCTTAACCTCTAGACCACTGGGCCGGCCAGCATTCAACGGTGTTAATGTCCAACTTCAACTAACCCAAGAAATTGAGCGACACATCCACCATTGTCTTTAGTGAGTTACTACCTCACAACAGATCCGGTGGTGGTCTAGCTTCAATTGATTCATGATCTCAACTCATTTTTCATTGAAGTACTTGCTGATGATATTGTTTAGAAGAACAATATTTATTATTATCAGAAGGGATTTTTTGTGCAGATTTAGTATTTGACTGACGCTTTCAACTATGAAAATATTAAATCTCCACAAAAAACCCCTTCTGATAATAATAATCATATGCTCACTAGTGACTGACTTCGAGAGGTAAATCCTGGAGTTGCAGTGAGAAGTAGTGACCAGTGGAGTTCAAACCACTTATGTTGTGAGATAGAAACCCATTGAAGACAATTAGTGGACGGTTGCTCAACTTCGTGGATTGGTTGGAGTTAGACATAAACACCGCATCCATGAGATGTCGGCTCAGTGGTCTATCGGTTAAATGCTTAGGCGCGAAACTGGTAGGTCCTGGGTTCGAATCTCGCTTGCGAGTGCAGGATCGTGAATGCGCACTGCTGAGGAGTCCCATAATCAGACGAAACAGCCATCCAGTGCTTCCAGGTTTTCCCTAGTAGTCTAGCTTCAATTGACCCACGCTTTCAACCTCAATAATCATAAATCATAAAAAAACATTACATACTTGAGCTTCTACATAAACATGAATGAATCCATCTAATTCTTTTTCAATTTTTTTATTTTCTTGTTTGATTTGATCTTCTATTGTATTATTCATTTGTAATTGATGTTTTAAATGTTTATAATCATCAACTAAATATTGGATACGATCTAATAGTTGTTCATTATGATTTGAATCTAGATCATCTTTAGATGTGACCTTTTGATCTGATAATTCATTAGGTTGAACATTGGATCCAGAATTGATCGGGAAGTTATTGTCGGTGGGATAATTATTATCTTTATTGTCACTACTACTATTATTATTATCAGTAGTAGTATTAGTAGTATTGGAAATTTCTAATGTTTTTTTAGTATTGAATTGAGTATCAGATATTACAGAGAATACAATACGCATTATACGTGAACGTAAACGTTCATACTAGTAAATAAGATAAATAAATAGATAGTGATATATAGATTAGTGGTTGTTCATTGATAGTTAAATAATGAATCAAAATATGTATGATTTATAGTGATTATGATTCTTTAGATGAGGTACTTACTTACGTACTTACGCCTGTTACTCCCAATGGAGTATAGGCCGCCTACCAGCATTCTCCAACCTACTCTATTCTGGACATTCCTTTCTAGTTCTATCAAGTTGTTAATCATTCTTCTCATCTATGTCTCCATTTCTCGGTGTAATATGTTCTTTGGTCTTGCTCTTCCCCTTTGGCCTTCAGGATTCCATATGAGGGCTTGTCTTGTGACGCAGTTGCATGCATTCCTCAATGTGTGTCTTATCCACTTGCAGCTCCTCTTCCTAATTTCTTTCTCCACTGAAATCTAGTTTGTTCTCTTCCACAATAGGTTGTTGCTGATAGTGTCTAGCCATCGGATCCGAAGAATCTTGCGTAGACAACTGTTAATAAATACCTGTATCTTTTGGATGATGGCTTTCGTAGTTCTCCACGTCTTCGCCCCCGATACAGTAGAACTGTCTTGACATTTGTATTGAAAATTCTAACCTTGGTGTTGGTTGACAATTGTTTTGAGTTCCAAATGTTCTTTAGTTGCAAATATGCTACTCTTGTTTTACCGATCCGCACCCTCGCATCTGCATCAAATCCACCGTGTTCATCAATGATACTGCCCAGATATGTAAAGCTTTCCACATCCTCCAAAGCTTCTCCGTCAAGTGTAATTCGATTGGTGCATGTTTTATTGTATCGGAGAGACCTATGTCTGCTGAGGCTGCTGCTACACTGGTCGTTTTCTCCTGCATTTGTTGTTGCGTGTGTGATAGTTTTTAGATAAGTGATGATGTTGATGATTCCTACATCAGGATACGAATTTCGTAATCGTCATTCTATGAGTGAATATTTTCTATTAAGTATATTTTGAATATATAACATCTTGAGATGGTATTTGTTATAAATTTACAGTCGCTTAGTTATCATGCGATTTATTTGGCAATCGTAATATGATTTATCTTATCATGATACTGTGCCGAACAAGTAATGTTCGAACGGTATGAGCAGCCTAACGTATTTATTGGTCCTTTGTCCTCCTAGACCTTCTAGTTGAATCTAAAACACTAATAACAGCTTAACTATGAGAATCACTTATTTCAAGCATACTTCGTTTATATACCAGACAAACCAGGCCATATCACACCATTAAATAGGAAATATCATTTGTACAAGATCAAGCCAAAATGTGACTGTGAACATGGGAGACTGTAATTAATAAACAGAATATAAGTTAAGAACAGTCAATTGTATAATAATAGTCCATAGATCAAAATGAAGCTTATAATAAGATGAACATAGATATACACAATGTAATTACTCAATAGTTAAACCATAAGGAATATATATAGAATAATAGTCCATCAATAGATCCCGTAAGTTACCCGTACTTATGTCTTCGCTAGGATACAACAGTATTCATAAAGGATAATTCTTTAGATAGTACTTAAAACCAGGGGGGGGGGAACTGGATAGTTGTTTCATTTTAGTATAAGATTATTTTAATACTTCTAATCAGTTAACATTAATAGCCCTACTGTAGTGAAAAAAAAACATAGGTTGGGACAATCGAATGTGTATTTCAGCACAACATTACAGAATATCTAACTAAAATCTGATAATCATACAATACATAGTTCATTTGCAAAATAACAATCAATTGCCTTAATTTGACTGTTTCTTTTGCAAATATCCGTCCACAGTCTCCGATTATAATTATTCATTCATTTTCGTACCGAATGCGTGTCGTTTCCGTTCTCTCCTTATCAATCTTCTACTAAAATACATTCCATACCCGATTATCACCATATACTACTTATGTGAATATCAGTAACTCACACTATACTACCTTTCAATTTCGATCTACATATTAACTGAGTAACATCAATATAAATGATCAAATTTAAAACCAAACTATAATTTACCTCACTAATAGCTTGATGTTTATCAAGTTGATGAATTCGTACAGAACGTTCTAATTCAATTATTTTCATTTGCATTTCTTCTAATTCATTACGTAATTTAGTTTCTATGCTTGATTTACTTTCAACATCTTGAAGTAGTTTATGATTATCTAATTTTATTTTATCTAATTCATCTTGTAATGAATGATTATGTAATTCAGAAGTTTTATATTTCTGAAAGGAAAGAAAGAAAGAAGAACGAAAAGAAAGAAGATAGGAATTGACAATTTTGACTACTATCAAAATGGGGTTTTATTGAGTTTTTAGTAACGTTATAGATTCAATTATGAGTCAATTGAAGCTAGACCACTAAGGAAAACCTGGAAGCACTGGACGGTTGTTTCTTCCTATTGTGAGATTTCTCAGCAGTGCACATTCACGATCCCACCTAGCGAGATTTGAATCCAGGACCTATCTGCCTCGCGCGCGAGTGCTTAACCTCTAGACCACTGAGCCAGCAACTATGATCTTGCGCAACTTTTCGCCTATTGTCTGAAGTGGTTAACTGCCTCCATCTGACACTGCTTAGGCTCTAGCGGTTAGAGTTTTTCACTAGAATTCCGGGAAATTCATCTTAAAGGTAGCTGTCTAGTGCTTTAAGGTTTTCAGTGATGGTCTAGCCTAGATTGATACATGATTAACTCAACTATTAAAAATCACTACAATCTCTACAAACCCCCATTCTATTTAATTGAATTACTTAGAATTAAGATACAAAAGGAGTAATTCATATAAATTTACCTGACGAATACTGTCAAGTTCTTTTTCAAATTGTTCCTTCTCCAAATTGTATTGTTTTTTATCTTGAGATTTACTGTACTGAAAATTTATAAAATGCATATCAACAATTAAGAGAAAGATACCTAATTAAAATAAACAGTCAGTTATTCAGTGAGCTACAACGTTGAACCAGGCACCTATATGCATCGGTCCAAGTTTCCATACCTTATTAACACAATATAAACATCAAACTCATAGGAGTAGTCCCTTCAATGGTAGTAATATATAAAAGAAAGATGATGTATAAGGATATAGTACACGACAAAAGAATTAGTTCTTAGAAACAAATATGTAAAACAATTTTAATCTCACGATTTAAGGGAAGAAAATAGTGTATACACCTAGGCCTTTGTGATTGATTGTGTTCTAGGACCTGGAATAGTGTGAATATCTGGTCTATACAACCACGTACAGGTCGAAAACCAGCCTGGTTTTCTCTTGTCTGATCTTTATGAGCTTTAGTTAGGTGTCGGTGTATTATTGAATCTAATATTTTAGACACTATATTAGTCAAACTGATCCCTTTGTGATTGTCACAAGAGGACTTTTGTCCTTTCTTATAGACTGTCACCATCAGTGATTGGAACCAGTCAGATGGAATTACGTCCAGTTCCCAGATTCTGTCTAAGACCTCAGTCAATTTTGCTACTAGTACTGGACCATCATCCTTAAAAATATCAGGGGTAAACTTGTCAGGGTCTGCCGATCTCCATCACTTCAGATCTCCTACAGCTTTTTCAACCTCGTAAACAGTTGGTAGACTTACACTAACTTGTCATTCAGGTTGACTGGGGATCGTGAGAAACCAAAGTGTAGCTGAAAGCCAGTTGAACTGATCCCTAAAGTGTTCTGCCCGTCGATTCAATCTCCTGGATTGAGAATGAACAATATATCCATCATCTTCCGAGATAGTTTATCTGACAGTTGGATTCCTAATACCGGTTTCTTTAACAAGTCTGAACAGTTGTCTGCTGTTACCTAATGCCACTGCCTTTCCCATCTCTCTTGCTTTCGCTACCCACCACTGTTCGCGACCACTGCGTAGGCCTCTTGCTAGCCTGCGCTTAAGCTGACTCCGCTCTTTGTCGTGTCCAAAGCCAGGTGGGTTGAGTTCAGTGTTAACATGATGATATTTATAATAAAATTTATAAAATATTTCATTGTTTACAACTTATAAATTTGAGAATGTTGTTCAACATATTTATATATCAGTCATAGTTACACCCAATACCCAACAATAACAATGGAGATTATCGAGATTTTGATTTAAAAAATGGACAAACGCATGATCAACTCCTTTCTTTAAAATAAAATCCCCAAAATTATTTATGATACAATCGATTTTCCTTTGATTTTCAAGTTTTCTAGTATAAAAGTATTTGATCAGAAGGGGTTTTTGTGGATATTTCAGTATTTTCATAGTTGTAATGATGGATCAATTGAAGCTAGATCACCATGAAAAACCTGGAAGCACTGGACGGCCGTTTCGTCCTCCTCAGCAGTGCGCGTCCACGATCCCGCACTCGCGAGATTCGAACTCAGGACCTACCAGCACTTAACCGATGGACCACTGAGCCGGCCAGCATCCAACGGTGTTCATGTCTAACTTCAACTGATCCACAAAGTTGAGCAACCGTTCGCCAATTGTTCTCAGTAAGTTGATATCTCTACCACCGATTTGGTTGAACTCCATTGGTCACTGCTACAAGTATTTGTCATGAAATTGAATACTCACTCAATGAATGTAAATTCCCTTTCAACTACGGATGATGTTTGCTGTGGTAATAATAGTCAATAACATTTGAAGTTAGTCTTACTATACCCCAAACTACATGGTCTAGAAAATGTGGACGATTGCAATCAACCCTATTAGTCTTAAGGGAATATCCACGTCATTAGACTAAAAGTCTCTGGGTTCGTGTCACCAATGAACTTCAAGTGATAATAAGGCATCTGTTCAATGATCCCAGGTCTTTATTTATTTTTGCAATCGATGTCAGATTGGGACGAAAATTCCCTCTTCACACTATTTATACCTCGTTAGAACAAGACAACGAGCAACAGGACTGTTATTTAAAATTAAAAATATTTACGTAATATATAAACATAGCTTTCGACCATCCATTTGCATCTTGCGGTGTATTCTCGTTTGACATTCAAGTGTTCGGTCAACGCCGTGCTTTCGATGTGTTGAAATTATTCGCTCCTTATAACGACTGTGACAGCTTTGAGTCCACATCCCACTACATATTGTGCTAAAACCAGTCTTGTGAGTAGTGTCAATCACACGTCTATTGCAAACATATAAGTAGTGAGAGTTCGAATTTCCATTCAGTAATAAAAGCTCCTAACCAATACAAATATATTTTCACAATTGAATTCACTAGTCAATCTAAACTGGACCACCATTGAAAACCTTGAAGCACTAGATGGCCGTTTCGTCCTAGAATGAGACTTTTCAGTATTGCTCAACCACGATCTTACTCATGGGACTCAAACCCATGCCCTTCGGTCTCGCGCAACACAATTAACCTCTAGACCACTGAGAAGGTATCCACAGGTGTTAATATCTAACTTTAATCGATCCATGATCTCATGCAACCATTCATTCATTGTCTGAATCAGATAATTGTCTTACACCAGACACGAATGATGGTCTAGCTTAGATTGACTCATGAATTCAACAATGAAAATACTACAATCTCTACAAGTTCCTATACTGATAATGTATATATCGAAATAATAATCATAATTGCTTACTTTTAAATGTAATGCATCTATTGTTGTATCTTTTTCGGTTAATTGATTTTTCAATTGACTTAATTCTTTATTTAATCTATTCATTTGTACATCTTTATTAGATAAATCTTTTTGTAATTGAGTTACAAGTCCACTTAATATTTGACGTTCTCTACGGGTTTTTTCTAATAATTGTTCATCGGTTAAATGATCATTATTGATTTTATGATCTTGATTATTTAACATAGTATCATTTGAGGATAATTTCATTTGTGAAGGTGTTGAACCAGGTCGTGTTCTAATGGGTACAGTTTGTTGTCCGTTTTGTTGAATATAATGTAGAATTTGATTAGATGATAGATTGACATATTGTAGAGTATCCGTTTGAGTATGATTATCAATTAAAGATGTATTTCTAGGTGTAAGTATCGGTGTACAATTACCGGAATGATGAAATAATCTATTAATTTGGTTCATTTGTGATATTTGATTTTGTAAATGTTTAATAAGGATATCTTTTTGTGTTGTGATGGCTTCTAATGGAGCAAGACGATTAATTTGTTCTTGTAATTGTTTGATGTATTTCTCCTGCACATATGTTTAAAAAAAAGTTATTAATAAGGCATATTATTTTTTTTAAAAGAACAGTTGCTAACATTGTGACTGTTGTTGTGAGGATGGTCCACAGGTGAAGTCAAGGAAACTCTAAGAAGCCCAGAAGGAGCCGGACATATTCCATCCAATTAGCTTTAGGAAGAATATTCTAAAATCACTACGTGTAGCTTCCTTATTGGACAATGCTGATAACTCCCTTTGTGCCGATTGGATAACTATAATGATGATTTCGTTCCTATTAAAAACTATCAATACCTGTGTGATGTTTAAATAAATCAATGACTCCTTTGAATCGAGGACTGTTGTAATTTTGAATTCCAAATACAATGCATTCGTTTATGCTCCTCTTGTACTTCTTGATTAAATTGCGTTATTCCTGGGATTACTAGTTTATATTACAATTCAAATACTTCTGATCATCATATTGACGTCGCGATTGAGCCTGTGATGGAACGGTTGAATATAAATTCAGATTTTAATGCTTTTGAGGAGTACATGGAGAGGTTTGATATCTGGGCTATGACCAAGGAAGATGATGAGGATTTGAATATTGTGGCCCATTTCCTTACATTCATCGGAAAAGAAGCATACAGCCTTATAAAGACTTTGGCACTTCCAGACAAACCGATTTCACTCCCCTATGAAACTCTCAAGCAACTACTGTTGGATCATGTAAACTATACAAATTCTGAATGCGGTAAGAGAGAAAAATCTGATAAAATGACTCGACAGAACATCAGGAATTCCACTACTCTACTAAGTCGTCGCAGTTCGATGCGTAATGAAAGTTATCCAGACAATACTTCATTGAGCTTTGAAACAGTCCATGGAGATGAGCACGAGATTAGTAAATGCTTGTTCTGTGGCAAGTTTTACCCATGTAATTCATGTATATTTCGTAATTCTAAATGCTTTAAATGTGATATAACTGGACATATTCAGTCACTTTGTAACACCATGGTTCATTTCACTGAAACTAATGCTAAGATGGATGTTTCTAATGATCATTTATCTTTATCTAGAAGTGGTATAACTTCACATAACAGTTCAGAGTTGAATAAAACCCAAAATCATTGTGCGACAAAAAATTTTAGTCAACAAACTTATCAAATTTCTCATGTCATTGTACCAGATATGGTTTGTCGTAATAATTCACATACTTCTGATGGAATTTCTCACAACTCTGAGAATAGAATGTTAAATGAGTCAAATCATGATCAAAAACCAAATTCAGTCATGGTAGGTGCTGAATTCCCTGATCATCCATTATTCTCTAATGAAACTCTTAATCAATTTGAGGAAAATACTTCAGAGAAATCGAATTCTGATATCATATCAAGTGTCAGTGGTCCTCACAATCAATTTATCTCTAATGATATTCCTAATGAATGTGAAAAATATGTTCCGAATGAGTTGAATTCTAGTCATATTTCTGATGTTGTTGTGTCAGATGTTGGATACTCTTACGAATAATGTATGTTGAATAGAATCCCTAGTCAAGGGCATGATGAATCAAAGGGGATAGCAAAATTTACCGAAATAATCAGAGAACCAGCTTTCCCAGAAGTGAAGTTTGCACAGACAGAGAATCCAAATCAAGTCCAAGATTATCCTAATGAATATGATGCAGATGAATGTTTTCTATTCGATTGTTTCGCAGGTAAATCAAGCCTAGTTGAATCACATGTGTTAATTACATATATCAATGCATATCCATCTGTGTATTCTAATATGAATAACAAAAAGAATATGTATCATGATTTTTATTCAAGTCAAAGTCACATGATGGAATACCTCAAATTATATATCAGTGTTTATCCCCAAATACTCACATACAGTAGGCGATGCGTGAGATTTGAGAAGATACTGCAAATTGAGAACGTCATATTGGCTAAAACATTGCGACGTAAGGGCCCAACATTATTTCGTGGGGGAGGACACTGTTGGAAAGTATATGATGCAAATTCTAAATATCAATGGTTTCACTACACAACCGACAAGCTGATTGTATACAATTCCAGAACCCAGGTGAGTCTGTTTCAATTTTCGTTGTTAATTCCAATACTAATGAGTGCATTCTAGATAATACAGAGTGTACATCCAATGCATCATCGGACACTTGTAAGATGAACTTAAGAAGAAGACGAACAATCGATTACAGACACTTACAATTTTGTACCATAATCGACACTGTTTGGAATAACATTCCTTCTACTTGTCTTCTGTCTACTGATTTGTGACTTGGGAGGGTTCTAGTGTTCAAGTTCGAGATATAACAGATGTCACAATCAATCGGAACTAAGTCGAAATCGTTAAAACTGGTAATTAGATTGTAATTAGTGTTCAAATTTACACCCCAAAAATGTTATCTAACTATTATCCAGGCTTATGGTCTCATTCCGACTACCTTTGATCACCCAACAAACTTTTATTGTGTATTGTAGAACAATTTAGAAAGTTTTGTAATTAAACCTTCTAGCTTGGAGAACAAAACATTACCAAAGATTTCCATCGGATCTGCAGATCATTGATATTGTTTCAAATATCCATATTTATTTTACTTGAGATTTGAAAGTCGTGATTATGAAAGGATGGTTAGAGAAACGGCTATATTTTTTCACTATCTAGTTAGCGTACATTTGGCAATTTGGTTGATGGGTTACCATTTTTCTATACTTCAGTTTTACATCATGAATCTATAAATTATATTCATATCTTATCTCTTACTAACAAACCTTACGCACAAACCTATCTCTTATACTTCACTCTAAAAAATTTCAGGCATACAGTTAGTACAAAGCTGATCAATTAGCAGCTTACTTCTTGATCTGAACTGAAGTCATTTCCTGTTGAATCATTTGTGGTTAAGTTTGGAGCAGGATTAGTCGAGCAAGGGTCTAAAAATAATATAAAACAGGATTAAATATGATCAAGATTGAGAGTCTTAGAGATTCTCTTACTGAAAGAAAGATGACATTATGCACTGTCTTGAACTGATTGGTCATTGAACGATAGATATTACGAAGTGGGTTTAATCCTGATATGAGATTTTTTGAAATTGACACCCACAATTCAGTCAATCAGTAGTGGATTTCAAGAGAAAATTCCACATTTACTGAGTGTCGTAAAAAAGTATATATAAAGTTCAGTAATTTACTTCATTTTTAGTTAATGCAGCTACATCTTATGGCATTGTAAATTTTATACATAAATGTGGTTATTGGCTAGTTTTTATCGACTGGTTCTCAGTTCAGTATATTGAAATTTACTTTCCGACCAGTTGAGTGAATCACCCCTTTTCTTAAAATAATCTTCATAAAGTGTTGGAAGTGACTTTATAATCTTATTCAAGTAAAGTAACAACTTTAGTAATCGTGTCTGTTATAAAAATAGTTTATGGAACATAACTCAGTTACTTGTACTATGAAGCAACGGTTTGAGGCTTCCAGATAACTAACCTTAACGATAAGGATCACTTGCTTGGACTAAAATGTGATAGCTGATAACATTTTCAATAACTTTTTGCGTCTCTAAGTACCGGTTTGTGATTTTTTAAGTTCAGGATTGTAAAAGTCATGTAAAAGATACAATTTTGATGTGTCTTACTAGTGACAGCTATAGCTAACTTCATAATTTTCCATCAGTGATTATTTTCAATTTTGTCAGGTGTATTACGAACCGTTATAATATAAGTAGTCTTCTGATTTGCTGAAAGCTTTCTATCAATGATACCTTCCACTTAATTTCATAAAAGAGGAATGAAAAATGCAAACAAAAACTCAGAAATAGAAACCAAAGCTTCTTATGAACCTAGAGTAACCACCTGAAGTATTTGCTTTGACGTAATAGAGAGGATATATTTTTGAATCGTTTTTATCCGAACGACTCTCCGGTTGCTTTGAGGATAAATGTGCTTCAAAGTTATTTTCGAAAACTTGTGAACACATGTTAGAGGCTTTATTATCTATAAATATAGTCAAATAAAATTGACAATAGTTACCACTTGGAACGATTCTTGGAATATTGATTTGACTTGAATCTGAATCGCCACACACCTTCACCCATGGAGGGATTGTAGCTTCATTGTTATAACTTATTTTGATTAAGTTACCTGATCGCTTTTCTGGATTACCAAGATTCTCTGGTTGTGTACCTGTAAAAGACTTTTGATCACTTGTAGTGAAAATGGTTCAAGAACCTCATGCGAGTTTTTTCCTGGAGATGTTATTTCATAAATTGTTGAGCAGCATCCGAACCTCAGTTTGTCTCCAACCAATAAGCGAACGATTCCATCAACTCTTTGATCATTTACAAATGTCCCCTTTAAATGGAGATCACAAATCGTTTAACTTGGAAATTACTTTACGGGAAGATAGATCACGTAAGGTAAGTAAACCATTCGAAGGATCATACTCTATAACTGCATGTTGTTGATCAACAGTTGGGCTCTGAAATATGAGTTATAATTGCAGATACTTACGTCAATAATAATGTCACACCCGGTTTTTCCAATAGTGGTGATCCTCGGACATATAGGGTAAGCCCACTTCATCGCTTTCATCGTGAGAAACATGATTCAGGTACTTAAATTGTTATCCATCCATTCCTTATCAACCAACGTCCTATTTTGAATATCCTTGATAGTTTTATCATTCATAAAAACGGTGGTTGAACATAGATATGTTACTATGTGGTTGTTTGAATGTGGTCTAATAAAACAATCTATCGCTAGTACAGTGAAATGTCATTTTAATTTCGAAAAGTTATAGATCTACGACTTATATCTAAAGTAATAAGTTTTTTTAAGTCCATGCACAGCTACCTTGGTCACTTATGTTCAGAAAGTCAATTCCGGATGAGAAGAATTTAACTACCACTCTAATTCATGAGAAATGATCGAAGTAACTTTCTTCATTTACGAATTTGTCAACCTCACCAGCGCTGTGGGCAGAATGTTGGAAAGGATAGCCAAAAAGTCAGTTAAGACCCTTGTCTAAGCCGATGACGCTTTAGGCAGTGAACAAAATAATTTCAAGGCAAGATTATCTTTCACAGCTGACCTCGAGACGATGCTGGAAAGCAGTAGATGTTGTCTACTTTGGCTTCAGCCTAACATTTGATAAGGGACCACATGGTGGACTGCAATAGTTTGGAATGTTCGGATCCGTTTTTTAGTCAATGACTTCTTAGTAAGCCGTTTATAAAAAGCAAAGACAGATCTTATGTGTTGCTTATGGAAATTACTACTTTGTGCAATACTTAAAAATACTATTGTAAGCCCTTGACTCCTTATACTGTATGTTGCTAAACTATCACCTAGTATTTTGTCTCTAATGCTAACATACGGTGATTATATTATATTTTGCCTGTTGAGTGTATTGTTTGTTTGGTTTAAACATTTTATATGGCTGTATGATAGCATATTTAATATAAAAACTAAAGTGGTACATAGAATGGTTACGTTCTTTATCTCGTTTAAGTGTTTCAGCGTTGAACTTTTGACTTACGCTTTCTACGTCGAGCATTCAGTGGTCAGTGTAGCTCTGTTATGTGAGTGTATGTTTATCTATTTCAAGTTTGTACTGGTGTTTTGTTTTCCGAATATCGATGTAAGGTCTACGATTAGACTTTTCAGCTCAAAAAACGAAACTGCACCGAAGTCATTTACCACAGCTACAAATCATCTCCACCAAAGGCCAGTGCCTAAAGAGGTGTAACAACATAACGAACCCAACTCAGCTCAGTCAATGTTCGTGCTTATAATGTCTATAATATGGGTAGAAGGGCAAGGAAGGAATAAGCATGATATATAGCTGACATTTCAATTCACCCGAAGGATGACTATAATGTTGTAATACTAAAATACACCTTGAGAGAGAACACCACATGGTAGTAACTAGGAAATGGCAACTTATAAGGGTACCTATCCAGCATATTATGTATGAGTCTTCAGTAAATCCCCTTTTATGGGATATAGTTTGTGTTTCAAGTCTACTAACTACAATATGATTTCAGATAGCCTCCTGGATATTACAAGTTGCTGTTGCAAAACCCTTTGAACGGAAAATGGCAAATGTAGATGTGAAGAAAGAGGCTAAATACGGGTATAGTTAATGGGATTCAAATCGAAATGATGTTAATTTGAAAAGGCAAATCCGTTAGACACTGTACAAGTAGTATCTGACGGTGTTTTTGTTAGAGTTCTCAGAATGAATGGTTAGAGTTGCTGCTTGGAAGCCACTAACTGTCCTCTTAGGTGCCAGCTGATCATTATTCAGAACTTCTGCTGAACGGAGTGGAGTTTCTGAACGAAATAGTAACACTTAGTCACTGTATATATAAAAAAATCCTTACGCTTGTCACTTAACAGTATGTCTCGCAGAAAACCTTCACAGGTGTGATGACACTGAGCTTTGAGCGTAAGAATAAACCAGTCCTGCATTTTATATCATGAAGTTATTCATGTTTATGAATAAAGACTCACGCTCCACATCCCCCCTGGGATTTTTTGGGCATATCACTCGAAGGGATGTTGGTCAGTTAGTGATAATGCTGTGTTTCAATTATAGTAAGTGATAAGTCTTGGTAACTGAAAGGTTTACTCGGATCCCCAAGCTAGAACTACACAGCGACTCGAACAGGAGAGAAAAGACGCGATATATGAGAAGCACTTTACTCCAAATGTTCATTTATTTGCAGAAAATATATGGTTTTTATAGTATCCTAGAAGTCCTCGGGTTTTCCTGAGAGCCTCTATAAACCGTGGCCTTATATTCCTCTCGAATATCTGCGGCATTGATGGTGGCGAAGAACGACGTCACCTGTTCCACATATGTTTTCGATGGCATATCTCAAAAGGGCTGAAAAAGAAAGTGAGTAGAAGAGATGGCGAGAAGCGAAGCAGACAATGCTTTTGCCTATTGAAGTTGAAACATTTGCGGAGGAATAGTTAAGGTATGATTAATTAATCCAATTTTCTTTTATGAACATGCTTTTCAAGCAGGAGCTTTTTAATAGGCTAAGGAAAATAGGCGTAAATATGAGATGAGTAGATAAAGAAATGTACAAACGAAAATGGTTAAAAAAGAAGGTGAAAGTATAAGATTATATGTAGCTTTAAAATACAGTACTGAAAACAGTATTCCGATACATAAACGGCTGTCTTCACTTTTGTAGAAGCTATTTCAGCTCATTTTTATCCTTACTAATTTTACAGAATCATGAGTAGGCCTGACTTTTAGAGAATTCTTCAGTTTTGCTTGTAATTGGACTACTCGGTAAGAAGTGAAACAATTTCAAATTTACAAACACGATTTAAAGAGGTATTTTACATCATAACTCATCGTCAATGCCAATGGTTCGTAACATCCTATTCGACAACAAGGAGCAGTAATTTAACAAAATCTTCTGCTTTACAGACATGAGTGGATTGAAGTTATCTTCACACAATCATGTTTTGCTGGTATCTAATGTAGACATCCGTCTAAAGCAATGCTCAATCGTAATGTTGGTGCTCTTTATGGAGGTTGCTGTGGGAAAAACAACTGGTAATGGAATATTGATTTAAGTAAGGTACAAAGCAGTTTACAACAAGTAGTAATGTTGAAAACGCCTAATCGATCAATTAAAAGCCTCAAATTTACTGTTACATCGTGCTTCCTTATAATGTCTTTCTGAAATATCGAAATTATTAAGGAAGGCGTAGGGTGAAACTATATGTTACACAAATGTGTATTCAGTTGTGTATCAAGAGGACTGGAAAAGAGAGGGGCAAAGAAAAGGGTTAGAAGCAGTAGAGAAATCTTTATGACTGCTGTGATTGAGTCATCTGTGGTGGAAAATTTGTGGCACAATTATGTAGACTTATGGTCTTTCGTCAGATCAATTTTTAAGCACGCATAAATTAAATACGACAAGCTCAAGGTGTGGTGAAGATTTTGCAAACGAGTGAATAGATAGAGATTTAAAAAGCTGAAAAATTAGATGATGTTTAACTCTAAACTATAGCTAGGGGAACTTATTGTTTTGACAAAATAATTACGTTTGCTTACAACAGTTGTTATTATCTATTTCTCATTGTTGCAATTATTATTCACAAACAGCTTTTTAATACATAAGTGTTATGGAAAAACCGTTTTGGGTTTCTTTAGAAATCCAACTATCCCCATGTTTCAATAATGTTTGCATAAAAGATGCCTTTTTTAAACAGGTTCCGTCGTATAATGAGTGAACTTTAACGAAAAATGAAGGAAGGAATTATGCATTGTGTAAATGCTTTAACTTTTTAGATTCATTTTATATTCATCACCGATGTATTACCCATAAAAACTGATATTTGATTATCCTATACAATTAGCTGAGACTTTCATGGCGTAAATATAAACTGTTACTGCCTGCTTCATTTTGGGCTCCTAGGCAGCATCACAGCCCCCTTACAAATCAAATGAGATTTAGTGCCCCTTTGTACCAATATTCATGTGTTTAAATAAATAAACTGTTACTGCACACACTCTTGTTCTACCATCAAATTTTACGGCATTAGTGATGAATTACCTGGAATAACCACCTCATTTTGTATTTATCGGTTCGACTGCAACTGTGGAGCATGTTATATTGGTCGAAGTTACAGGAGATTGCAATTTCGTGCTCGTGAACACCTCCCAGCGTGACTAAACAAAAGTTTGAATGAGAAAGTAAGTCACTCCATATTGGCTTATTTAGTACAAACTTGTAATAGCATGAGTATAAACCAACCTTTTTCAATTGTTTATAGAGTCAGTAATTTTTCGCCAAAGCTTGCCAGGCTTAAAGCCATTCAAACGGCTTAGGCAATAGTCATCCGGATAAAGAAACCGGAGCTCTGCGTAAAGGAGAAATATCTCCAACCCCTCATTCTCCCCTGGCCAACCACAAGGTCAATTAATCAGTAGTAATCTTAGATATTGAATGACCTAATTTGGCTATTGAACTAACGACCTTTCGTAATCAAATGTAATTGTCTCTCTTATCTTTATTCACAAATCATTGATATTATCATTATTATTATTGATTAAACATCACGAATCATTCACTTCGCATCCATCCCTCCTTATTACGTCTTACTAATTTTCCACACAATTTGGTCTTCCATTAAACGTTTGATCGAATTGTAATTGCACTATCATCTCTCTTTCACCATATCTGACTTACATTTATTCTGACCGCAGATCCTAAATTTTCACTTAAGATATATATAGATTCCAGTTAACATTCAATATGAGTCATATCAACATTAACAATTCTATTCTATTTGGTTTGACAATCCTAAATTCACATGCTGTAAACAATGTACTTTGCCTTAAACCTGGCCATTTTTTCGGATTATTAATTCGAATACATAATTGTAGAAACTGAGGAGAATTTGTCGAAAAAAATATTCTTCTTTCAAATATTAGTCTTTTGATATCTTATTCACTTTTCCTTATTTTTATTTGGCAGTACATACATTATTGTTCACTCTTATTCTGTTCTCAAAAACGCTATTAAATTATTTACGTATTTCACGTTCCTGTCCCTCATTTCCCCCTTATATGT